TATATTTTTTGGTTTTCGTGAGTAATGCAGCATTTCATTCAAGACAATGTCCATTTAAAATCTTATATCTGCACCTAAAGTAGGTAAAATGTGAGTATACTTCTTACGCATTATTCACACGAATGAAAATCAGGAAAAAATCTAAAGTTGATTTCAAACTCTCAAGTGTAAAAATTCATTGGATAATTGACGCTTTACAAGATCTAATAGCCAAAGGGCAATTATTATAAATGGTGGGAGAGAGCAGGAGCTCGTAATTGCTATTTCCATATATAACACAAGCTGAAATAATTATTGTAGTTTTGTGCCATTCGTTTATATCTTTTTTCTGAATGTTTGTAATTAAATTTCAACTGCTTCTAGAACACTAATAAAGTTCTTCCGTGATTACTTGTTGAACCGTCGGGATCGGTATTCAAAAAAGGGTAAACTCTAATCATAACATGGGAAAATGAACAACTACGCGAGCAGAGGTTACTCGCGGAACTCGCGGATATTTATCGCACGCATATAATACTTGGTTTACAGTACCCTTGTTTTCCAGCTTCTCACAATGAATCTATTTGATGAAAAGTGGTCACATAAACTGCTATAAATTCATTAAAGATTCAATAATGAGAAAAAGTCAAGCTTAATGCCATATATCTGTATTGTATGTCATAGAGTTCCAGGACATTATTTATTGAACAGCCCTCGTAATTTGTACATCAGTAGGGGGTAGGGGGACAAGAGGTCGCCTTATATTGTACATCATTTAAAATAATGATCACACTATTTTGAACGACAATGAAGAAACCGGAAGATTTTATATTTTACATCTTATATTGTAAGTCAACAGGGAGACAAGAAGACATCTAATATTTTACATAAATATTGAGACCAAAGAACTCCTTATTTGGTCACCTGAATCAACTCATGTGACTTATTGCTATCTGGGGTTTTTTTTTTTTGGCTTCTTGTGCGTTTACATTCGAACATTTTAAGCTTTTCTCTGCAATCCCTCAACCATTTACAACCAATTTTTGTATAAAGCATCTATGGGTGGAGAGTTTTTAAATCATGGTTCCTGCCCTCCACCCCCTAAGGCAAAAAAGTTGTGGCGAATCTACTACAATTGATAAAATCTTTAAAAATCTTCTTTACTGATGGACATCAAGCCGTCTAACTGTTGACGTAATTATCATAAGCATTGACTCCTCTACCAGAATTGTGATGTTTATTGTCCCAGATTCAGGGGCCCAGGGGTTAGGAGAGGGCTATAAAAATTTATATCGTGAAATGCATTTATTCTTTGAAAATCTTCCCCTCTGTCCCTAGATATTAAACAAACTAACTACATGCATAGATATGATGAGGAATGGATATTCTCTCCAAAGTTTTGAAATTCGTGACCAAAAGGTCAGGGGTTCTGGTGTTACGGTGGGGCTATATTAATTGTAAAGTTAAAATTCATTAATTCTTTATAAAATCTTCCTCTCTGCTCCTGGATAACAATTAAAATAACTACATATAGTTATGATAAGCAAGGGAGCCTCCTTCCAAAATTATAAATTTCAAGGTCCCTTGCTAATAGGTACCATTGAGGGGTGGGGGCTCTAATTAAATACTGTAATTGAATAAATGGTTTGAATTTTTTTCTTTGGTATGAACCAAATTTTTTTTATGAACAAGGGTGCCTTCTCCTACATTGTGAAATGTATGACCACAGGATGAGGGTTTTTGTGGTCAATGGACACTACTATTTATTGCTAATTATTACTGATTATTTGAAATGCACTTTTTGTTCCCCTTTGCTCTATACGTATAGGCATTAAGTAGACAAACTAAGCATGCTAAGTATAGTGATGTTCCATGACCAATGGTGCTTTTTTTTCAAAACTGCGAATGTCTTGGCCTCTGGTTCAAAGCGTTAACCTAATTCAATTGTTTTGAAGTTTTTCATGATGTTCAGATGACCTATAAGACCCATAGGCCTCCTGTCGTGTTCTTATAAGAGATTTTCGAGTATCCCAATAATATGCATTTTATCTGTAACCTCTGGTCCGCCCTAATTTTCTTTTTATATGTCTCTTGGTTAACACGGGTCTAGAATCGTTGATGGCTTATTTCTGCAGTCATATAAATTCTATATATGTCTGATTTCCTTAAAAATGCACAACAAAGGAGACCACTGATCTCCCTATTTATGTACAATACAAGGTGACCTCTGGTCCCCCTTGTTTTGTAAAATATAAAGTGACTTTAGGTCCCCATAATGATCTACAACATAGGGTGACCTCTGACCCCCTATTGATGTATAAGGTAACCTCTGTTTCCATTTTTGATGTACAATATAATCTGACGTCTGGTCTTGTACAGTAACAGGTGACCTCTGGTAACCTTTCTGTTGTAACCTTTAGTCTCCATAACGAAATAAAATACAAGGTGACCTTTGATCAACCTATTGATGTAAAATATTAGTTAACCTCTGGTCCACCTAGTGACGAACGCTAAAACTAACCCGAAGGCTCTGTCCCCCTACTGATATACAATATCAGGTCACCCTACTGATGTACAAAATAAAGTGTCCTCTGGTCCCCCTACTGATGTACAATATAAGGTGACCTCTGGTCCCCCTGCTGATGTACAATATAAGGTGACCCCTGCCCCCCTACCAATGTACGATATAAGGTGTCCTCTGTTCCCCCTACTGATGTACAATATAAAGTTACCTCTGGTCCCCCTACTGATGTACAATGTAAGGTGTCCTCTGGTCCTCCTACTGATGTACAATATAAGATGACCTCTGGTCTCCCTACTAATATACAAATAAGATGACCACTGGTCCCCCTATTGATTTAGAATATAAGATAACTTTTGTTTTCCCTTCTAATGTAAAGTGCAATATAAGGTGTGCTCTGTTCCCCCTACTGATATTCAATTTAAGGTGACCTCTGGTCCCCCTACTTATGTACAATGTAAGGTGACCTCTGGTCCCCCTACTGATGTATAATATAAGGTGACCTCTGGTCCCCCTGCTGATGTACAATATAAGGTGATCCCTGGTTCCCCTACTAATGTAAAGTGTCCTATGGCCCCCCTACTGATATACAATATAAGGTTACCTATGGTCCCCCTACTGATGTACAAAATAGGGTGGCCTCTTGTCCCCCATATGATGTAGAACAGAAGATGACATCTGGTCTCCCTTTTGATGTACAATATAAGATGACCTATGGTCGCCCTAAAGATGTACGATATAAAGTTACCTTTGGTCTTATTAACTTTTTTTTACCTCTGGTATCTGCATAAAGATTATGGGAACAAGCGGAAGTCTTATATTGTACATCAATAAGGATTTTATACTTCACAAATTGTAGTATATGAATGAGACAAAGGTAATCTTATGTTGTACATTATTACGATGTTACTGAAAGTTGTAAGTAGGCAATAATTTAAAATCATGGTATGTGTAGAATTATTTTTCAAATCCTCTCAAAAAAATTGCGACCCTAAGTTTTTGACAGGGAAAAAAGTGCATGCAATTTCTCCGAATTATCTAAATGTATGCATTTGGAATTTGGAGGATTAGTCAACTTGCTTGTATCCCAAAAGTAAAAAACAATTGGTGCATTTTAAAAATTTTATTTCCTTTTTTAATGTACTGTAAATCACTTTTTATTCAAATACAGGCGGTATCGCGAAAATGTATCTCCGTATAATAGAATTCCTTAAGATTATATAAAGCAATGACCACAATTCGTGAAAATTTTTTTAAAAATTTTATTTCCTTTTTTCGCGAAAATTGTGAGTTTTGATGGGTTTATGAATTTGATGTGTTAATTCCAGGGAAAGGGGTGGAGAACTCCATGCAGCCCCAAACTTCGCAATACAGGGTGTACATCTTCTTTGTAAGATAAATAAAATCAGTGATTTCCGGCAAAAAGTTTTAAGTGATGAGGTCGCCTATTGAAGCATGACCTCATAAGGAATACAAAGGAGACATTAAATAATTTATTAACAAATAATTATTCCATTATGTTAAAGGATTGGTGAAAAGTCCGAGCGAAATGAAAAGGTAGGGGGTGGTAGGGGGCAAAATCTTCATCCCCCCTGCTTGTTAGAGATCTGCAAATGCAGAGACTGGACGTCGTTTACTCTGAGTTGCTTACTATTAGTAAGGAGATCAGAGGTTAGGCACTGTGTTATATAGATAGTATAACCTTACATGGAATAATAAAATCATAGGGGAGACCACAGGTCACCCAACGTAATCCATAAATGTTTTAAAAACTCTTATATATCATATATATATATATATATATATATATATATATATATATATATATATATATATATATATATATATATATATATATATATATATATCTTATAATATTGCAGTTAATGTTGCTCAGCAACCCCCCTCCTCCTTTTTGTTTTCTAATACCCATCAGATGGTTATTCCCTTGACAAAAATAAATTTTCTGTTGTTTTTTTTTACACTGAAAAGGCTTCACAGTATTACGATTTATTCTATTTTCACTTTACGTATGCAACGCACTACATTTTGTAGCGGAGTAAACAGGCCAGATAGACGTGAACTGAGCAGGGGACCTAAGGTCCTAGTTCAGCGTACGTTTTATCCTTCTACCATAGAAACACGTGTATTGTATTACTGTATAATATTAATATTAAGTTCCTGTTATGAAAGTGATATCGATATGTTGTAGTATAAATAACTCTTACTGTAGATGGATTAAAACTTGGAATAATTTGATGGTGTTATACAGCATTCACATCTTCAAATGGTGATGAGAGTGTTGGCTGCCGGAAATATCTCGCGCGTTAAAAATTTCGCACGCTATCTTTTATTTACACAGAAACCGGTGACGTCAAACTATAAATATACGAAAGTCCTTACATCTAGTCAACGCCTAGCACTCAGAGCATGTATAGCGAAAGTTGGAGACCGACGACGTCCTCGATTTGCTCTGGTTCGTTAAAGATTTAGGGAGAATATGGGATCCGTAGGATGTAAATATATGAATTTGATGCTGAAAAAACAAGAGTCTGAGGTACGTTTCTTTTCTCTATCACAACGATACCAATTGAGCTAAATGGAACGTCGAGAAAATGACAGCATGCGATATGATAAGCGATTTTTTAAAAAATTCACTGACATAAACATAATATTCCCATCTGTCCATCCTGTTATCTCCTGTTTTGCTTTTTTTATTTCAAGTTTCTTGTAATAATAATTTAGCTAAAACGGACTAGAAGTATCTGTTTTCATTGTTTTTACAACAGCCTAGAAGCTAGGCCAAGAAAGCAGTTCTGATTGAATAATCCATCGATGTGTAACCTTTCTTGAATTTGTTCTCGTCCAATCAAAACACAGGGAATCAATAGATAAAATTAAGATTGGAATTATCAAAATTTATTATATAGTTAATAAATAGTTCCTAATGAATACTACCAAAAATCTAGAGAATTTTAGCGTTCAATATCTTGACGTTTTATTGTACGCTGATTTTGTATTATGTATATGAGTATGCTTGAAACATTCCGAATACGAGCGTTAAATATCGAACGCCCCGTTGTAGACAAAAAAGAGTCGTCTGGTCAAATTCTTTTAGCTAAATTAGAGAAAGGAAGTGGCATCTAGGTAAGATGTGTTTATTCTGTATATAAAATGAAATTATTTATTAAAAATTTAGTACGTATCAGACCCATTAAAATCTAAATAAGCAAATCATACCGTTCGGTAGTCATCGGAATGATGCAATATTAAACAAGAGTTAATTTTGAATACCGATACTAACTCGTGTCAATATTCATTAATATAAGTTCAATAATCTTATGATACCAGTTTTCATTTTTTCTTTTTTAGCCGGGCTTATTGCTCAAAGAGCAATTGCCGGCTTATGTGATCCTGTTCAAGGCAGGATGTTGACCCCATAGTCGCCATTTTAAAGTTACATGCAAAAATATAGTTCTTACTCTCAACCGCTTTTGAGATAATACAAAGGCTAAATAAAGCAACAAAAATAAAAGCAAGTTTTATTTATATAAAATAAACATTAGTAGTAATGACTTTGAAAACTTTATAAGTCAAAGAACATAGTTCATTAGCGTAAGGATTTTTGATAATCAGTGTTACCGTCGAGGTAAAGCAGGAGAGGGAACCAGACTGGCCTGTTTGTTTACATTCAGCTGCGATACCAGATTAATTCTGATTCTGACAAAATCGGACCGTGGTATTAGGATTGAAAAACTCACTGTCAGTGTCTTATCATTCATATTTATAGTTTTAAAATAATTTTTTCATCAGAATATAAACGTTATTCATGTAAGAAATCCATTCTACTCTGTAAATGAGCCTGGCTCTCTGTACTTCTGAGTACTTTGATTTTTATTTTAGTTTCCTGTAACAAAAAGATACACAGATGTTGTGTCGATATTGCTGTCAGCTCGTGCGGATTCTAACAGTTTAGATAACGGAGGAAGTACACCCCTAACAAATCTTATGACTTCCTCGATCCGCGCCACGTGTCTGGATCCACCTGTCAGTGATGACGTCATGACAATTATTGTTCTTCTGCAGCAAATGGGAGCTGACTTAAACACAAATAAATGCGAGTACAGTTACCAACTCATGGTCTCAACGTTGCTGAAATCAGCCACTCTCGTAGAATATTTCTTGGGTTGTGGGGCAAATCCAAATGTCAAATGTAAGCAAAATTGCTCTTATTTTAAAAATGTAATTTTTTCTAATCAGTAATTTCATACTTATAAAAGGTCTGTATTCCTACAAGTAGGATCCTCGGTTTCCTTTGCCCCTTATGTACCTCAGGGCACCAAGTCACAAGTATCTCGCCGTGATCATGAACCTCGAGCATGCTCGAGTATTAGTCGTTGCTAATTTTTTTTTTGTATCCTTGTTCTGAGTTTAAATGTTTGATGTTGTCTTTTTTATATTATTTAAGAAATGTGCATATATTTCAGTTGTTTCTGGAATATCACCTTTGTTTGCTGCTGTTGGTAACAGAGACCTTAACACAACAACCATCCTGCTGCGACATAATGCAGATGTGAGGGCGAAAGCCATGGTCTGTCTGAGATTGCATGAAGAACGCCTGTTTGATCCGTTTGAGTTAGCTGTTGATCTGTTACAGTGGGACATTGTGGACATATTGATTCATTATGGATATAGCCTCTCTAAGCACAGATACTTACAAGACACCCTCTACTCGGAGGAAGCGCCCGAAACCCTTAGAGACCACCCCTCTTTTCTGACTAAACTGCAAACATCGGCGAGTTCGCCATTCTCTCTCCAGAAAATTGTCGTTTTGAAAATTAGACATAATTTGAAATATGACTTATCTGAAAAGGTGAAAGATCTTCCACTGCCCGCTTCTTTAAAAATGACTTTGTTATTTTTGGAAAACTTGTAATAAATTTCAATGACAATTTTTATCTCGATGTTTACACAAGTAATACTTCAGGATAATCTTAAAGGAAAGTCTAATTCCAAGGAAGACATGCACACTTGCAAAACATTAAAGCCCTAGCACCAAACATTGAAAAGTTATGACCAATGTAAAATTATTTTCAATTTGAGCGTGAAAAAAATCAATTTGAAGCATGCTTAGATAGTTTGAATTGATATGTACATTTTTACCTGCATAAAACATTGATCAAAACAAGATGTGTTTGTGAAACACTGATGACCCAGTATTGTAGATTAGGCGAGGGTTGAAATTTCTCAAATGCAAGTCAAAACAATATTTAATTGAACCAAACCGAATCTACAAATGATAAAAATGCTACATGTATATACAATGTCATATTCACGAAGTTTAACCCATAAATAAAGGCATTAAAGAAAGAAAATCTGAATTATATTTATCAGGATGAATATGCAAGCATATTTACAACAACTCCTATGGTTCCGTAATGGCATATAGTAACAATAGGAACATAGATGAACTGGTTATTAGATCAAAACTCAAATTAAATAAAATGCAGTGAAATGGAATGATGTGTTCTAGGTGGGCCCCTCATCTGCTCATTAGGCGGGGTTTACATGTACCATGTATTGCGTATCTTAAATTCAACAGACAGGTTTGTTTGTTGTTTACCGTCCCTTTCGAAAATTTATTCACTCACATGGAGAGGCCAAGACACCTCCGAAACACTCTTAATTAGTCGTGGTAAATTTTATTATCAAATTGTTTCAAGAGTGAAGAATTCTAGTTAGCTAAAGGCATAAGATTGAGACGTCGCTGTTGTTTTATTAAGAAATCTTTCTCAGTAATCACATCTTGGCGCCATTTTCTTCAACAAATCACAGTAGAACAATGTCGGCCGTTCTGCTAAAAACTGATTTTGATGAAATTGTATTTTATGAAACTTAGTTAACAATAAAAAAAAAAATAATTGAATCTTCTTATTTAAAAAATCTTTTCAGTCGGTGCGATTTAATTGGGTCGGTCGCGTAAGGGGAAACAAAGGTATTTTTTATTTTGGCCTCATATTAACTTATCTATTAATAATATCAAATGTGCATACCATCATATTCTTCGATTTCCTGTTGATAATATTGATCAATTTGAGGCTTTTTTATTTAATAAAAATCATAATTCAATAGATAAAACATCATTTACTTAATAGGATCAACAGTATATCAAAGTCATGATCTTTCACAAAATGCTATAAGAAACTGCTAAATCCATAAAATAAAAAAAGAAGCTCATATGGTATCACGCCAAGGACAATCTTTTGACATGATTTTATGTTAAGAATACCAAGGGTCGGCGTCTAGCCTTGTTCATGGTTTTAGAAATCTTATAGCGTTGTTCATGAATATAGAAATCTCTAGCCTTGTTCATGACTAGAAATCTCTAGCTTTGTTCACGACTATGGAATTCTCTAGTCTTGTTTATGACTTTGGAAATCTCTAGCCTTGTTCATGACTTTAGAAATCTCTAGCCTTGTTCATGACTGCAAAAATCTCTAGCCTTGTTCATGGCTGTGGAAATCTCTAGCCTTGTTCATGATTGTAGAAATCACTAGCCTTAATTGTTCATGACTGCAGAAATCTATTAATTTCTGCTTACCCTGATGTGACCCATGAGATGTTTTACCGATTTTTACAAGAATTGAAACCTTTGATATCACTTATTTAATTGTATTATCGATGACGTTCATAGAGGAAATAGTTTGAAAATAAAAATACCTGTAGTACTTCCGTTTAACATAAAAAAAAATATGCATTATTAAATTGTTAAAAATAAATGTAAAACATAAGTTCAGATTGCTTTTAGTGAAAAAAAAAAACGTTCTCAAATCTTTAAAGTTTTCATCTGTACATGTACTGTTCATGAAGCATAAAACATGAGGCTCAAAACCTGCAATAATATAGAATGCATTAGGAAACCTTACATTTTGGTTTGATAGCTATTATGAGAACAGCAATTGCTTGCCTTCTTAAGCTTCTCAAAGGAAATAACTATTATCTGGTTCTTCCGGATGGCTGCTTGTTTAAGGAACTCTTTGTTATACTCATACCATCCTCCGTACATTGTCTCTAAATAAATCAAATATTCAAGCAGACAAATAACTTTGGATATAAGATAATTTACAAAAATATTCATGCCTTTGGTTCGTTTTTTTTAAATGTATTTTGACAATATTAGGCGTACTTACTTGGTCCAAAAAACTCTTCATCGAGAAACTCTTTGAAGCTTTTATACTTGTTGACTCTAGCGGAATCAAAAAGTTTAAACAGAGAAACTGCAGTGTCCTTAGGGTTACGTATAACTAATATAATTTTTCCTGATCCATCAATGTGTTGTTTTGGGAGCCATTGGAATGGTACATGTGTGCTAACAACTCTGTTGTAAAAATGCAATGGACCAAGGTCATTTGACCCCTCCAAATACACGGTCTCTCTAGAATTACTGCAATATTCCTCAGCCAGGAAGGATAACTCTTTAATTTATAATTTAATTCAAAAAGTCTTAAAATAAAGCTTGAAATTGAAATTTTTTCATGCAACAATTTTCATTTTATGCCTCTACGTATGATTTAAAGTTCTTTGAAGTTTTAACAAACGGTATTAAAAAAGTTGACATTTGTACCTCATAAAACTAAGTAAAACTTGAATATTTAAAAAAATCAAAGTTCTTTTAATTTAGCCTTAGTTACCAATGTTTATAAGCATGATTTGAAATTAGAAGTTATTTACAGTGTTTTCTTTGAAAGGAAACACTTCATACACTATGCATTATGAAACAATGGAAGCAAGTAGGAGAAAGTAAAGTACCGATATAAGTATGAAAATCATGCAATTTTCTTTAAAAGCCTGGATACCTATGATTTTTATTCTTAAAATGTATTTCTTGATAAATTATCAATTAGAAAATATGCAGTAGGAAGTTCTAATTGCATTTCCTGAAAAATTATTAGAGATTTACTAATTTTCCCTATATAATATGATTAAATTTAAAGATGAAGTTAAAAGAAACACTGTGGGTATATACATTTTAATTTGAGAATTTAGAGACATCTTTGTGAGCATTTTCAATTACTCAATGCCTGATTTTCAGAACCTGAGGATCGGATAACCTTAAGCAACATTTCAGTCATTTCATACACCCAGTGTGTTCCTAAATGTACGAGTTAGAATATAAATCCTTTTAATATTCATTTGATTAAATTGTTATGTTTTTATGCGCCAGGATCGATAGAATTTTTGTCCAGTCTCTTTGTCCCTTTATCAGTTTGTCTGTTTGTTTGTCTGTTGTCAACTTTTGTTATAACTTTTGAACAGTGAGAGACAGAGACTTCATATTTATTATGCATACTCCACTAATTGATCTCTCTTGAACGACACCAAGGTCAATGACCTTTCGATCCGACTGTGACCTTTATGCTAAAAATAGAATTTTTGAACCATAACAAATAGAGACTTCATATATGGTATGTATACTCCACTTATCACGTTCTTTCAAATGACACAAAGGTCAATGACCTGGCGACCTTTACTGTGACCTATATGCTAAAAATATCTTTTTCGAATTTTGCTGCTGCCGGGAGCATAGTGTTTCGCAAACACATTTTATTTCAATTTTGTGATATTGTGCTTTTACAGTGTTTAACAGTGTTTTACAGTTGACAGCTTACTTTGACATTTAAATATGCATTGTGCACGAAAGCATACACTAAATTGATCATCCTCAAGAAAATTTCTAAGTGACTACATGTATTGGTATTATTTTAGGGGTATTGGCATGATATATCTGTATGCAGAAAGAAAGTGGAAAACGGGATAACATAAATTAATATATCTCGTTTGTGAGGGGTAGTATCTTCTTTTTAATCTCATTTTCTTCAACAAATAAGTTAGGAAAACAAAACATCAAAAGAGAAAAACTTACAATATGAGAGAGAGAGAGAGTCGAAATAAGTTTGCTTGCTGTGCCCTACCTTCTTAAGGGGGCCGACTATAGTTTTATTGTGTAAAAACTACAATAGCGAAACTCTTCATTTTTATACCATATATAAATTACATTAACTTGAGTGTACATGCAAAGTTTGGGGGAAATCTACCGTTCAGGTATTTTTGAGGGACCGTCTCAAAATACAGGTACATTTACTATAGGATTATATAGGAAAGTGCCAATTTTTAGCACTTCAAAGCAAATTATACAAATACTGCAATGTACTTTTTGTTCAAACTATAATATTTGATGAGTAATACTATATTATACAATATATGTAAGAAACACAAAATTCTACCGTCTTGTTACCAGAGAGAGCATCTCAAAATGCAAAAAAAAAATTAGCAAATTTTACTATTTTTATAGAGTATTACAAAATATGACGCACAAAATGGATTCACATGAAAGCATAATAAAAATATTGGAGATATTCTCAAATTTCCGTTTTAAATTTCAAGAGCGTATGTTTAATACTTTTTCTTTAACAATATTTTATTACCCCTTTCTCTAAGAGCTACAGATTATCATAACGTCAAAAACACAGTGCAACGACGTCAACCTACCTATCAATTGCAAAATCGGTTAAAAAATCAGTTATATCAAATTGTAATTACATTTTTATACCTATATTTTCTTAATTTTGTTTAATTTTAATAATTAAGCGAAAAAAGTTGCATTAAAACCCTAAATACGTTTCGTTTTACTATGATGCGCGAAATATTGCGCAATGGAAACGGAAGTCGGCCCCCTTAAGGTAAAGTATGCTCAGAAATAATTACCATCTAAATAACGTTTTAAAGCCAAATACTTATATCGCATAGGAGAACTAATGTAAGGGTAAATGTCGGTGCTTCTCGCAATCCATATAATTCCACTTACATTTTCCGGGTATAATACAGTTTCTGTTTCCAAATATTAAATTGTGCATTTCCTTCTTTGCGATATCAGTCATGCAATTTTATGCACTCTTTACTTAAACGACAATAAACAATATTTGTAATGTACCTCTTATAAAATGACCTAAGAAAAATTGGTTGAGATTATGAGAAAAATAAAACTAAACAAATTATTGGCTAAGTCTAGCAAGACTGTGATTTTTGCGTACACGAAATTGTACCTCACCCTTTTGCTTAAGGCTTTAGATATTTCTGTATTATATAAATATACTTTAATGAATATAATTATGTAAATTTTATTACTAACAAATAATTCAATCAATTTAAGATTTCAGAACATCTTTTGGTTCAACGCATTGGATAAAGTCTCTTTTGAACACATGTCTGTTTATTTTAAATGCGAACACTTTATAGCTTATCTAACCTGATTGTGGGAATGTCGCGAGAAGGATTGCATTTTGACCTAAAGTCAGGCCTTTGATAGAATTTAGACTACCGCCTGGATCTTTGATAAATATTGGAATCCCGAGAAGGTAGAGTCCTTTATATTCTGGAGTCTTGATATTACGAAAATTAGCAGCCATGACCAATTTGGATTTAGAAGCTCATTTTTAATTATAGCCAATTCCCCTACATTTTGTGACCTCTAAAAAGTGTGTAAAGGGTGTCCCAAAACATATGTTACACTTTTAAACTCTTATAAAAATTTTATGCTTCATGTTACATTAGTGAAATTTAAATACGTATATAATTAAATTGTTATATTTTTTGTCAAGCATACTTTTTCATAGTTTCCTTTTTAATCATTAACATTTTTATTAGATTAAAATATGTCATTTTACAACATTTTCGAAATGACGTCCCTTTGAATTAACATTGTTTGAACAGGATTTCTGAAGGGTATTTTTTAATCAAGCTTCAAGTGTAACATTCTAAAAGTTGAGATGTTTTCCAAATTAAAATTCACCAGACAATAGAATTTAAGATTCTCTTTAACAACATTGTTAAACTGGAAGTGGGCTTCATCGAAAACAATGCATTTGTTAAATATCCAGAGTCAGATCTAATTAAAATCCAGTGGACAAACTCCAAATGACTTCTAATTTCTGTCTCTTTCAAATGCTACATTACACTTATCTTATGAAGAATCAATTTTAAATCAAATGCGAGTATTTTATGAAAACTAGATTTTATCCAAGGTGCAATCTTATTCATGCAGAACCTGTCTAAAGAATTGTTGTAAAGTTTTATTAAAATTTATCAATGTTATATATTTTCTCTTTGTTGTAGACACTCATTGATCTTCTAACACCAGAATTAGGAAGTAAATCAATTATGGCACCCTCACAAAACTGTAAATTAATATTCTGTTGAACACTTTCATTACAGTATGTTGTTTTCTCATTGTTCTAAGACTAAAGTAGCAGATTTAGACTCATGGGAAAGTTTTACAATTTCTACCAGCTGTTCACCTGAAGGTTCCATATTAACAATATGATGAAGTTATTAAGACATCATAAATACCTGACTTTTCAACAGAATTTCTCGAAAGCTTGTCAGATAAAATGCATGCTATTACATTTGATGTTGACAAAATATCTTCGTGAATGCTTTTGGTTTGATAAAAGTTATGTGTGATTAAAAGTGAAAAATATGTTTTGGGACACCCTGTATACTTGATGCATTCCTCGTTGCAATTGAAAAATGTTATCTTAAATTCGTTTTTTTTTTTGTTTAATATTAGTTCCCGTAACTTTTAAGACAATTGAAACAACCATGGGCTTCTTATCATTATCTCATTTTTCTAAAAATAATGAATTTTGAAAAATTTTCCATATATATATAGGAATTAACTGTGGAAGGGACAATGCCCTCCCCAATGCTACGTCACAAGTGTCACTTAAATTAATAAGTTTAATAAACATGTTAATATGCCAGTGCATATTTAAATTAATATATTTACAACTGTTATCACATAGAATGTTGATTAAATTCTCTAGAACCATACTTTGAATTTTTGCATGATGAATTATAATTATATTTCTGACAAATATCCTTTAAAGTAACAATACTTTTGTTCTGAATTTTTAGATTAAATATATCTTTGTTTTTCAGCATCAGAACTCATGAAAACAAACACTCTGAGAGTATTGCATTTCAGTTAAAGAAATCCATAAAATTCTGTTGTATATAAAAACACTGACTAGTTTTTGGGTTATCTCTATTTAGGAATACAACACTCATGTAATTTTTTACGTCAAATATCGTTTTGCAGTGCATCCGAAAAAGGTTGTAAATTGATTGAAAATATATAATTTAATAAATTTGACAAGATTTTCTCCCATTCTACGAGGGGTTATCAAAAAGTTCGTGGACTGATGCTATAAAATTAGTACTATGTAGTCTGTGCTTTCAAAATTTATATGGAACATAAAACAACAAAAAAAATTAAGAAATGTTAAAAATTTTATCTTGATACATTCATTATTTGCTATATTATTATTATCAAATAAAAACGACATTATACGATCACTCGGCGCTGTCGCCGTTTATAGTTTCATGACGTCATTGTTTTTTCAATGTCCTCTTCTTCTACCTCATACACTTATTTTGATGAGATTCCCTGGAGCTGAGTAAGGACTTAAACCAGCCTTGTTTATATGACTTTACAATGACATGAACAGTGGCCTTCAGTGAATATAATATTCCAGATGGATTAATACATTGGGAGAGATCCTCGCTTGATCGTGCTAGCATATTTTGCTTTTGGGAGTCCAATATCTACAACACATGATCAACGTCGTTTTTTGTCGTGATTGATTTTTCACACCTTCACGACAAATGGACATTCACTGTGCATCCCTTTTCTCTCTGAATTTATTTTGACATTAAAAGACAAGTACTCTGGATGCGTATTATCTCTCTGTAGCCAGTTGAAACATTTCTTAGGTCTATACCAGTTTTTTTCAGAGGCAAAACTTTGTAGAATGTTGAAAAAGGAAACCCCTCCCCCTTTTGACGTCATTTTCAAGGCCTTATTCATTTGGAAACTACATCATGTAAAATTTACAATAAGATTTCATAGAACTCCCAGAATGAAGTAAAAATTTCCTATTTTAAGGAACAATTGTGTCCTAAAACATACCTAAATTAACGGGATTTTTGGATGTCAAATATATGATTATCAAAAGAGGTTTTCTCAGTTACACATTGTTCGCAAAAACGTCATGTTCGAGGCTGCGCCGCCTGGACATACCATTGCTTGCAAAAATATTACTAATTTATTAAAAAATAAAATGTCTGATTTGTGGTTTATTCTTTAAATAGAAAAGATGATGCTAACTAGATACTTTAAAATTCATTGATGTACCTAAAGCGGTTTTAAGTTTATAGCGCTAGTCGACGAACTTTTTGATAACCCCTCGTATGTTACATTTTATATATTTAGTACAAAACTACATCCTTTAAAACAATATGATAGAGGACAACATGGATATATTTCTCAAAAAAGGAACCCTTTGCTTTCAAAAATGTATGATTGTATTATATATTTCTTGATTAGATTTCTTGAACTCGAAACTAATTGCCAAGAAGAAATTGACATGTTTTTTTTGTTAGAACTCACAAAAATATGTTATTAATAATTATAGATTATTACAATAACATAAGCAATTTGAAAGACAAGCAAATTGTGAATTTCTACTCCAACCATTTCATGAAAATTACAAAAAAAATTCGTTGTCTTTGAAAGAGCAAACGATCAACAAAAACGTTTTCAATAGAAAATTTGAAAGTACAAACCAAGTCAATAACATCAAAACGTACGAATTTTCTTCATTTTATACGATCATTTCCAACAATATGTTGATGCAATAATAAATAATCTATGTCTTTTGACATCATCGACAGTTGCTTTTTTAAAATAAAAATGGAACTCGTAATTGAATCTTATTACATTGTCTTTGGTCATTTACTTTTTTAAATTAAATTTTGCTTTTTCAACAGAAAAGCACTCTGAAGTTGATACAGTGTATCTAAAAGATATACGAGTTTCTGATTTACAATATTTTTTTTTAGTTTTTGGAAATCAGAACAATATGTTGGATTTGCCATGGTTACCAATCGCATCCCTTTTAGAACAGACCTTTCTTTGTATTGAAATGAAGCATACTTTATTAAAAAACTTCTACATAAGAAGAAAATACACGCCGTCGCTTTAATCACAACCTTTCGAATTGTCGACGTCATATTATCAATTAACAATAATTACTTAGAAGCATATATCGACCCAATTTGACCAATTGGACTTGAAATCAAAAATAATCTCAAGACTGACATAAGTTGAAAATCGCATGAAATACTACACTTACAATACTTTTGCACGTCCCATAGGCAAACACTCTTCAGGTAAATGTATACAAAGATATAAAAATTTTGTTCAGAAAAAAAAATAGTACTCGCAATGAAGCAGAAATCTGGATATTAATGACGATGCAATTTAGCTGCGAAACATTAAAATCTGGGTCTAATTTAACGAAATCCAATTAATCACTTAGTGGGGGCAATAGCGCAAGAAATGCGACACCGTTTAAATTTTGGAGGGTGAGGGTGTAGAGTTGCCCTAAAAAAAAGGTTTAGGAAGTCAACAATCTGAACAACAAAATGATTACAACCGGGTCATGGGGTCACAAAACTAAAACGAACTCAATATTAATATCAGTCTTATTCTACCACTATATATTTCTTTGGTAAACCGTCCATGGGATGACTCTATATAAACCGAGGTCCCGTATAGCAGTAGGTGCTGGCACGAAAAAGATCCTCACAGCTCAATGGACCATAGTGCCGAGCATAAGACAAAATCTCTAGCTCACCACTGGCAAGTGGCGGTGTTCCATATGAGTGAAAAATTCTCGAGGGGTATATTTAACAACACACAATCAATCAAACAATCATTAAACCTGTTAAAAAATCACAGATTTTCAAGGAGGGGAAGAAATAATTTACACTTCCTTCTCATCAACTTCATTGATACATGTATAAACATACATCATTTACCCTTAATTTCTGTTTTCAAAGTTCATCGTTTTTGTCTTTTAATCATATTCTGGGTTAAAATCAACTCCCTTCATTCTTTTCTTGTATGTCTTGTCGAATTCTTCGTTCAATTTCACTGTGAAATAGTTTTTCCAATCCCCTACCTCACCTGAATGTCAAAGACAAAGTATTTTAAATCCAAAACAGCCTTTTTTTATTTTGTATTCTACATAAACTCCTTCTAAAAACCTTAACCAATTTCGACATTGATTGAACAGGAATGTATTTGATTACTTTTATCAGGATATTGATTTGAGAGTAATTACCTTTTCGAGACACTTCTGGATTCTCATTTAATGACAATTCTCTCATCATATCACCCATCAGATTATCATTTCTGGCGACTTTATCGGCCTCTTTAAGCTTGCTGAACGAACATTTATCAATTATATCTGTCAGTAATTTTTCGTTTTCTTTTAAATCAAGAAATTTGGCGAGTCTTAAAAGTTCCCCCTTCGTGTCCTAAAAGAGAAAAGTAATACTTGTACAATTCAAAACCTATACAAAATGTGATGTATTCAGGAACTCTACCATTTTCGTTTGATAGCCCAAGAGATTTTATAATATGAAATGTTTTTTAAGAGACAGCAAAACATTAGTACACTCGAATTATTATTGATATTAAAATGGTTATTTTGGTAGCCCTTATTCTACACTTTAATCGACTTTCTACACAAAACAGATGCAAATTACAGGAAATCTAAAACTATTTATATTGTATCTCCCAAAATACTGTTGAAAAGAATAACAACTTACTTTCTTCAACTTTTCAAAGGTTATAACTATAATCTGGTTCTTTCTGTAAGCTGCTTGTTGAAGAAAATCCCTGTTATATTCAAACCATCCTCCGTGCATAGCCTTTAAAATAGCCATAATAGAAGACTAAAATAACCATAATAGAAGGAATATGATGAGTGGCAGTAAGATAAAATTAATAAAAATTTAAGTAACGAACACGTGATCAATCTATTGTGATCTAGACATTCAGGATTTATTTCCGTAACAAATATTTATTAGACATACTTGTTCCTAAAAAGTCTTCATAAGCAAACTCTTCGAAATTTTTATTTTTGAAATATTCAGCGGAGTCTAGAGCTTTGAATAGAGAAACGGCCGTGTCTTTAGGGTTCCGTATAACTAAGATAATTTTTCCTGATCCATCCACATGTTGTTTTGGAAGCCATTGGAATGGTACATGTGTGCTAACAACTCTGTTGTAACGATGCAATGGACCAAGGTCATTCAACCCCTCCAAATACACGGTCTCTCTAGAATTACTGCAATATTCCGCCTTTCCTTTAAGCAACATCTTTGTCATTTCATACACCCAGTGTGTTCCTAAAAATTTATATAAAACATAAATATTATTCTTGAAAGCTTTCTCACTGCTGAACGTTTTCTGCTAGTTTTTCAAAGTATCTACTTTCTCCTTGTATCACAAAATTTTTGTTTTGTGTGTTTACCCCAATTTTCTTATACATGCAGCGGGCAAATTTTTTCTGCATTAAAAAAATTAAAAAGACAAAATACAGTACTCATTATTAGTGCTGCAAACAGAAACCAACACGAGGTAAACAAACATTGATCTAAGAAACATTGAGTTAATTGAATTCAATAGTAACGCTTGCACTAAAAATACAGCAATAAATAATGACTGATAGTGTGTTATGATGCGAATAGAAGCTTGTTTTTCACAACAGAAAAATTCCGAATAACATTAACAAAAGATTAATGATAAAGATTTTAAGGTTTTTTTTGAATATATAAAACTGCGTTATAAACAGTTTGACTGGCCCTTAACCTTTTTTTGTTAAATACATCTTCATTTTAACAGTCACTACTTCGAGTCTGTGTTTAAACTTACCTTTACCTCCAATTTATTCTAGCTAAACATATCCCTTTCCATAAAATATAATATCAAAAACTTTCGAGTAAAGTGTCCTATCGAGTGATATTTCTTTATTATAAAATTGTGGTTTTGAGCTTGAACGAACCTGATCTGGGATACGTTGCCAGGATGATAGCATCTGGACCTAAATTCAAGTCCCTGATAGATTTAAGGGTACCACACGGATCCTTCAGAAATGTCGGAATTTTAGGAAGGTATAGACCTTCATATTCTGGTATCTCCATGTCACGAAAATGTGCCGCCATTGTGATAAACTCTTTTGTATAATATAAAATTCCCCTATATATTATGACCTACATGTACAAAAATAACGCGTACATTTGTTGCGTTTATAACTGAGGCATACAGGGCTAGGGTTCGGAAACATGAAAACATCAGCGAATGTGAACGTGAGTGATTCAATTTACAAGTGCATAATATATTCTAAAATGGTTTCAAGGGCTTTCTTTTTTAAGGAGATTGGTGGAACCCCTGAAACATCAACTTATAAGTGAGTAGCATGCCTCAGTTTAAAAATTAATCGTATTCCGAGCAAAGTTTGGAGTATTGAATAAGCTGGGAAACATTATAAACACCATAAACTGGTGATCGTTGGATGTTAGTAGATAAATAAGGAAAGTTCATGATGGAAAAGCTGGCCTGGGGGCTATAAAACTTAGACGAGCTCACTTTTGATCTCAGCCTCACTTTTCCACTATTAATTCCTTTGGAAAAGAATGAAACTGAGCTCAAAAGCGAGCTCGTCTAGGTTTTATGGCCCCCAGGCCTGAAGTCATCTTGTTTTTCATACAGTTTGGTTAATTTGATAGTTGGCCCTTGTGTCAGTAAACATCCAAAAATTAAACAGATGTGGCGGACTCTGTGATGTCTTATTTCAAGTTCACTAGGATATATCAGGTCTGGACGATTTCTAAATATGGAAGTCAAGAACGATAACCGAAAGTTGCTATAAATGTACATCAAGTACATGTAATTATTTTTCTGTCCAATCAGACAACAGCATTTTTACACACCCCAAAACATGTTTTAAAAGAACAAAAAGATAACACGTGCTTTTGTTTTTTTCCTCAAAAAGATTTTTTTAACAAAAAATATGTAGAAGTAAGATGAAAACTTTTGAAGAATAAGGTATTCCACATTTTTACCGTGAACAACCTTGACATTTTTATCTCGGTAAAGAAAAAAAAATAATGCACGATAGAATGTAATCGTTTACAGAGGTATAGGTTACCAGCAAGTTTTTATCAAGTTCAATTATAACATTTACCAGAATATATTACATGATGGTAAATATAATTTTGCTTAGCCGTCCGATTTTCATCGATAATGCTTAAATTCAATGTGTATAGATCAACTCACACAAGTGTTTATCGTATGGACTATATACACATATAGTTTTAAATTCACGCGTTTCACGAGCGCCGAATACTTAGCTATGTTGACTCTAAATGGGCACAAGGAAAGGCGTATAACGTGGAGAAATGAGAATCCTGTAATTATACATGAATGCGTTTTATCCCAATATCTTACCTCGCATACCTCGCATATCAGAAATTGCATGGACTACTGGACTACTGGTATTCTGTAATAAACACTCAAAAATGATAAAGACTGATATCTTTTCGATAAAAATTTTATGTCAGGCTCCAAAAACTGAAATTTTACCGTATTTGTATCAATTTTTTAACGTAAGTTAAATTTTTTGGATTGCTACCTCCTAAAAACAGATTTTTTATTCCACTTAAAACGTATTCTAAGCTTTCATGTCGTGTTTGTTCACGGTAAAATTGTCATAAATATTATATTATATTAAAGATTACAAAAAGTTTGTTCTAAAAAAATCTTTTAAGCAAAAAACTTAAAAACCACGTGTTTTATTTATTTTCTCATGGGTTTGTCTAAATGCTGTTATTTGATTGGTTAGAAGGATTAGTGCCTTGTTTATTCTGTGTATTAATAGCAATTCACGGTTATCGTTCTTGACTTCCATATTTAGAAATCGTCCAGACCTGTATATCGAGTCCTCATATTACTATGAATATCCATTGTTAGGATTCTTCTCTGGTTTCTGACTAAATGAAACATTCCAAGTATATTTGCTTCTATGTCTTACATTTTGAGACGTAAGGGATTTAAAAGACCATATTTTTCTTTCCTCATCACAACTGTACTACTTTAAATAGAAATTTAAACTGCGTTTGAAAACTAGCAGGGACTTTTTTTTTTGGCGGAATGGTGGCGCGTATGAAAATATCTTCTTTTCTGCCTCTCAAAATTATAATAGAACAATGAATTTAGTTAAAATTTTTACACAATCGAAGACTTGGAGAAATTTTCAAATGTAAGTTAAATTAATAATGAGGGACTAAACTTTCAAAATATATCAAATAGATATGATTTTTCAAACAAACTAGAACTTTGTTAGCTTTAAACCTTCCTATCAAAGTACAGATTTGAGCCAAAAATCCAGTTTAGTTAAATTATTTATGTAAATTTGGTAATATCATGCTATAGACCCGATATAGTAATATGGTTTTAAGCAAAAGAAACAATCTTTAAACTTTTGAAATGGAAGTAGGTACATGTATCACATGATTGGCAACAGTATATTTTATTCTTAATGTCAAGGAAAAAGATAATGACCTTGACCTGACCTTGCCTGTAATATGAAACGGTCAAATTTAATCTCACTGATACTATCACTTACTGATATTGTCTTCTTGATTCTGTGAGAATTTCTTTAATTTTTAAATATTAGAAATATGAGAAGAATCCTACCTTGATTGCCACAGCATGTGTTTTTTCTTCTCATGTAGAGGTTTTAAAATAAATTCTACTTCACATGAATACAAAAACAGCTAATATTCTCAATGGAATTCCAAAAGTTTATTGAAAAACTTGGTCTCTGAAGACTATATAAACATATGATCAATGTTATTGATAATTAAGGAACTCCAGCATCAGTTAATATCAACTTCAGAGTAGTTGTATATACAATCAGAGTAGTATTTGCTGATCAGTAATCAAAAAATATTAACATTTCTGAGTTCCTTTTTATGGAAGAAATAGTTGTCTGTGATATCACAAAAAATATTTAGGAATGGGTTATTATAGTATATAAACTTTTTATAAAGGGTAGAAACATTCTAAGTTTTGATCGTAGACTTTAGAAACTTGGTGATTTTAATTAAAGTATTTTGAAGTTCTTTAGAGTTTTGGAGGATCCACATCTGATTTACACCACTTCTAGAATCTTCTTCTATATCCCCATTTGATTATTATGCTGTAGCACGGTGCGTCTCTCACTGAACTATGTGGTTTATCTGTTTTAGCTGTTAGCATATTTTATATAACAAACAAAAAATGCCAGTAAGTCGAAATAAGAACAACTTACTTCATTGTGAATTGTATCTCAAGTGATTTTTTTGCCCCATGTTTATCTTGTTGAACCAACTTTTTAATATATTCGATCAGTGCATACTATTTATGCAAGATATATTACTGTATTCAGCGGCGGCTCACACAAATTGGTCCGACCAAAATAGTCCCATCATGATAAGTAGATAAAACATTATTGTTCATGATAAGAGTAAAGTTGTGTATGTCATACGTTATAAAAATCAAAAATAACGTCAAATTATTATTAGAAAATCACTTTCCCCCCGAAATGCAAATAAAAAATATCAATATTCCTACGCTCGCTCCCTCCTCAGCCTTTTTTAGGTCACCTGAGTAAACTCAGGTGACCTATTGCTATCCGTTTTCGTCCGTCGTCGTCCGTCGTTCGTCGTCCGTCGTTTGTCGTCCGTCGTGTGTTAACATTTGAACATTTTCAGCTTCTTCTCTGCAACCACTGAACCAATTTCAACCAAATTTGGCACAAAGCATCTATGGGTGAAGGGGAACAAAAATTGTGAATTTCATGATCCCTGCCCCCCTGGGGCCTGAGGGGTGGGGCCAAAACCACTAAAATTAATGCAATCTTTAAAAATCTTCTTCTTTACCCCTGGACATCAAGCAAGCAAACTGTTTGCATGATTGTAATCAGCATTGAGTCCTCTACCAAAATTGTGAAATTCATGGCCCTGGGGTCAGGGGTTCTAGTGCTAGGGCGGGGCTCTATTGATTATATAGTGAAAATGCATTATTTCTTTGGAAATCTTCTTCTCTACTCCTGGGTATTAAATAAACCAACTAAGTACATAGTTATGATGAGCATGAGTGCCTCTACCAAAATTGTGAATTTTATTCAGGGGTTCTGGTGTTAGGGTGGGGCTCTATTGATTATATATAGTGAAAATACATGATTTCTTTGAAAATCTTCTTCTCTGCCCCTGGGTATTAAATATACTAACTAAGTGCATAGTTATGATGAGCATGAGTGCCTCTACCAAAATTGTGAATTTTATGGCCCCAGGGTCAGCGGTTCTGGTGTTAGGGTGGGGCTCTATTGATTATATATAGTGAAAATACATGAATTCTTTGAAAATCTTCTACTCTGCTCCTAGGTATTAAATAAACCAACTAAGTGCATAGTTATGATGAGCAAGAGTGCCTCAACCAAAATTGTGAATTTTATGGCTCAAGGGTTCTGGTGTTAGGGCGGGGTTCTATAGATTATATATAGTAAAAATACAAATTCTTTGAAAATCTTCTTCTCTGCTCCTAGGTATTAAATAAACTAACTAAGTGCATAGTTATGATGAGCAAAGTGCTTTTACCAAAATTGTGAATTTTATGGTCCCTATTGATTATATATTGAAAATACATGAATTCTTTGAAAATCTTCTTCTCTGCTCCTAGGAATTAAATAAACTAAGTACATAGTTATGATGAGCAAGAATGCCTCTTTTAAATTATGAATTTTATGGCCCCAGGGTCAGGGGTTCTGGTGTTAGGGGGGCGGGGCTCAATTGATTATATATTAATGAAAATACATTAAATCTTTGAAATTTTTTTTCCCTTGTCTCTGGGTATAAAGCAGATGAACTACCTTTATAGTTATGATGAGCAAGGGTCCTAATCTTGCAGAATTGTGAATTTCAAAGCCCCAGGGTCAGGGGTGGGGGCTCTACTTATATACTGAAAATGAATTTATTGTTTGAAATCTGCTCTTTTGCATTTATAAAACATTTATTTATTTTTTGATATTAAGGGTGCCTTTTTGAAATTTGTGCAATGTGTGGACCTAGGGTCAGGGGTTTATGTCACAGTGTTAGGGGCACTACTGGTTAGTTGGAATGCATTTTTGTTCCCCTACCCTGCATATGGGTATTCAGTAACCAAGCTAAGCAACTGCTAAGTGTATTGAAAAGTTATGATGATCAATGGTGCCTCTTTCAAAGTTGTGAATGTCATATAGCATCTGGCTTAAAACATGAATCAAATTCAATAACTGGAAAATTGTTGCATAATGCTCAGGTGACCTATAAGGCCCGTGGGCCTCTTGTTTTTTTTTTTACATGTTTGATAACAGAGAATATTTAGGTCATTCTTCGATTCATATCTTTTCACCGATGAATTGATAATACTATATCAACAATTGTATTAAGTACATGTTTATAGTCCATTAATTATCATACGATCTCTTCTTAAAGAAAAAAAATCATTCTGTGTGTGTGTTTTATTTAATGACGGAATTTTCCATCCCTGGCCGGATTCTGCTCGTGTGTACACTTGGTAAACTGTAGGGTATATAAAATGTGTAGCAAAACGAGAACTGGGTCGGAGATTCGGGTTCGTGTTGAAGTCAGCATACCATCCCTTACCGAAAATATTGCCTTCCTGCAAGCTTGCGGCAATGTAGCCAAAGAAAGCATGACAGTCTATAGAAAGCCTTGGTGTTTGCAGCAAGTTAGCAGCAAGTCTGCAGCAAGCTTGCTGCAAACATTTTACCATGCAAATGAGGTTTGCTGCAAGTCTGCAGAACACTGGATTTTCCAAATATGGAAACCTTGCTGCAAGCTTGCGGCAAACATTGCTGCAAGCTTACGGCAAACATTGCTGCAAGCCTGCCGCAAACATTGCTGCTAACTTGCAGCAAACAATTTCCTTATGGTTTTGGCACACTCCTGTGTACAAGCAGAAAGTTAGCAGAAAGCTTCTGTCCTGACCTAAATCTGTTAATTTTAGAGAAAATTCACCACATGTTTCTGAAATGATGCAATTTTATGAAGTTTCGATAGGCTCTCTTTATGTTCTTAGACAAAGTTTTCATACTTTTTTAAATTAAAGTGCATTATAGCTTTTTACATGAACAGAAGAACTTTACATATATTTTTGTTATTGAATATTACCATGATTACACAGCTACTAATTAATTTGAAAACATTTAACTGATTTAGGTCCATTAATACATTTAAGAAGTACACATATGGGATATTAAAAAGAGGACTGTAATTCATAATAAATAGATTAAAATTTGACCTAGAGTGTACACAAGTTACTCAAACATGCTTTTAAGAAATATTCTTTTAAGTATCAAAATAAAACAAAACCATTTCTTACCAGTTAGATATCATGGATGCCAATGAACACCTACATCCAGAGTTTGACACTTTTAATCATTCAACATGGCGTATATTCCTAACAAAATACTGAGACGTGTACAACTTCAACTCAAACATTTCAAAATGGCCAGTTCTGTGTTGACCCCAGTACAATCTGCATTTCATTGGCTGATTTGACTTGTTTACTGTTCTTGCGAACTTCCTGCAAACATTCGAATAATGAAATGTTTCCTGCGAACTTGCTGCGAACCTTAAATTGGTGTGTATGTTTCTTGCAATGTCCCTGCAAACATGTTGGGTTCCTGCAAATTTACTGCAAGCTTGCAGCAATTGCTGCAATGTTTGCCGCAAGATCGCAGCTAGCGGCAATCATCTGCGAACAAGAAAATTTTCTTCCTGCGCACAATTTTGTTTGCTGTAAGCTTGCAGCAGACTTGCTGTAGGCCTGCAGCAAACATATCAGTTTGGTAAGGGATTTTATACAGAACTTGAATTATGTAAGTAATTTCTGCGACGATTACATTAGCATGATTAGTATACTTCAGTAATTTTCAAAACAAAAACGTTTTCAGTTTAGAATTTTCCGACCCGGTCCTGATTTTCCTAACCCGGCCATTTTAAACACAAGTTGTTGCAGATGCAAATGATAGAACAAACTATAGCTCAACAGGGATTGTATAATTTTTATTAATCAGAATTCGTATTCATATGATCTAATTAAGAAAAGTTTTGTCTGCCATCGTAACTTCTCGGCAAAACAAAACGTGTTTCTCCGAGCTCGCTGGATGCGTTTGACTGCTCCATCGCACGTGTGTAGACCAAGGCTAATGTTGGTCTTGCGGACACAGGTATGTGTACTGTTTGTTAGGACACTGGGTGACCGTAATGCTACGGACTCACGAAATTTACACCAGTTCCATAATTAGACAGTGCATTTTTTTAATTAAAGTCATTATAAACACTGTTAAACATATTAAATCTAAAAGTCGAATATCTTTGGATATGGGGTAACCCATATCTATTCTTGTGTAAAGGTATTTTAGAGAAATTGATGCATGTTTGACCCAGTTTATTAAGGTCGTTTACCTTTGGGTATGAATGCACTTCTTACGTTATCTTACGTTATCTTACGTTATCTATTGAAGCATTTACAATGTATTCCTGCGCAAAAATGCACTTGATGAAACCTACTTCAGTCATTAATTTTGTTGGTGGTGTTGTTTTTAACAGGCATTTGAGTTGCTTTACTATTTATTGACTACAATTTCCGTAACTGGTGGGTATTTCTTTTAACAACATACCAAAAGCGAAAATACTAGAGACTACTTATGCTCTATTTTTTCGTAGTAACGTTGAAAATTTTCTCGTCATTTAAAATAAGTAAAACATATCTCGAATCACGAGTAGTGTATCATACCATACTTAAGGTAGGTCGCGGGTTCACTGCATAAAAATTCTTACGAGAAAACATATCCTGAAAATTTGATATAATGTTCCTTAGAATTTACAGCGTATTATCTGCAATTTTTATGAAATTTACCAACGTAGTTTTGATGCTATATTACATAGGCGCTTGGGTCAAGGATACTATCTATTTTCTATATTATGTATTGTCGAGGAAATTCGAACTATGCTCGTAACATATTTTTTCAGTCCGCAGTGTTAATTCATACTTTTTGTAAACCTCTCTGCTTCATATATATACTCTAGAATGTCACGGAAATTTGATTTTATGCACGCTTTAAGAATGACATTTCCCACTGTATACTAAAAGTAATACAGTGGGAAATGTCATTTTCAAAAAAAACTTCTGCGTAAATCGCAGGTTTTAACAATGCTTGAATCTGTAGCTCTCTGGTTGGAGTGCCAATATGAATTATAAATGGATAATTGCTACCGTAAAACAAATATTACAAGATCGATTTATTCAAAAGTGGTCTAGTGACGTAAATAACTCTTCAGAAGGACAAACTTATAGAATCTTTAAACAAAATTTGGGATTTGAAAATTATTGTAATATTGATAAGTTATTTCCTAAATTTACAATATTTATGAAATTTCGTACCACAAATCACCATCTACCAATAGAGACTGGAAGATGTCATGGTATACCATTTTTTTGAAAATCAGACAAAAATTACATTAACAAAATAAAAGAAAAAGGAAAATTAATGAAAATCACCACTGTTCATTGAGATTTTTATTTCAATTATTTAGCTTCAATTTGTAAAAAAAAAAATCCCTCCTTCCTGGGTCTGAGAACCCCCAGGCGGCAATTCCAAAAAAAAAACATTTTTTTTTTTAAGAATGATGCCCTTATCCAAAAAATTTATACTGCTGTCTATCCTCCTTGATATGTTTTCCCCACTCTTGTTTTCTTACCCTTAATATTCTGTCACGTTTTCTTTATTGTATATGTAACTCTGACCAGACTGTATTTATTGTATATAATGTATATGTTATTTATGCACATTACCCCATGTTCCAATAGGTTGGTCTGGGTAAATAAACTGAACTTGAACTTGGTTTATCAGTTCGAATTTTCTTAACCAGAGAGGTACAGTTCTGCTGCTACAAATCAAAGTGCTAATTGCTTTGCAAAGGGTATAGTTGTGATTGTAATTTATCGAAACTACGGAAAGAGCGCTCTATTGATGAGTAGCAGTTACGGTTGAGAGAGAGAAGGGGGTATTATCTGAACTGTATATCATGCAAAGAACATGTTTTTATTTCTAATTTTATCATATATAGTTTACATGGTCAATCTGAAAGTAAGATTTCACTTAATTTTCGTAAATAATACTGTACATGTATGCAATAGGCATTATAAAGATATATTACAATCTGTTCTCTTTTCCTTTGTAAGTAGATCAACGAAATGAATTTCGCCTCTTTACATTTGTACAGATTATTGTGCTGATTTCCAGAGTTTAAAACCATGATAAGCCTTTCCTTAAACATCCAGACATTAGTTGTTAGCGTTTGTGTTGGTCTTCTGGTATATTACGTCATTAAACGTATTCGATATCGTCTGCCACCAGGGCCTTGGTGCATACCAATCATCGGCAACTATCAAAGTAAGTACTGAAATTATCATGAACATTTTTCAATGATTTTGTCCGAGATGAAACTACAAAAAAAAAACAAATATCTCTATGTCTGTTCATCACGTGATAGAACTATTTTCTCTGCAGATGTTCATGTGTGGCTTGGATGTACACTGCTCGGGGCTTTTAAAATAAGATTTCTTTATTATTGATTAAAGATAAACAAAATAATATCTTTGTTAAATGATGATTAGATCAGGTGAAAATGTGAATTTCACATTTGCCTTTTTAGCTCACCTGAGCCGAAGGCTCAAGTGAGCTTTTCTGATCAAAATTTGTCCGTTGTCTGTCGTCGTTGTCGTTGTTGTCGTCGTTGTCGTCGTTGTCGTAAACTTTTCACATTTTCATCTTCTTCTCAAGAACCACTGGGCCAATTTCAACCAAACTTGGCACAAAGCATCCTTGGGTTAAGGGGAATTTAAATTGTTAAAATCAAGGGCCAAGACCCCTTCCAAGGGGAGATAATCAAGAAAATACGAAAATAGGGTGGGGTCATTAAAAAATCTTCTTTGAACCACTGGGCCAGAAAAATTTATGTGGAAGCATTTTTTAAAAAATTCTAAAATCATGACCCCCGGGGGTAGGGTGGGGCCACAATAGGGAATCCAAGTTTTACATAGAGATATATAGAACAAATCTTTAAAAATCTTCTTTTCAAGAACCACTGGACTAGAAAAGCTGAAACTTATGTGGAAGCATCCTTGGGTAGTGTAGATATTAAATTGTAAAAATCATGACCCCCGGGGGTAGGGCATGGCTACAATAGGGAATCCAAGTTTTACATAGAAATATATAGAACAAATCTTTAAAAATCTTCTTCTCAAGAACCACTTGGCCAGGAAAGCTGAAACTTATGTGGGATCATCCTTGGGTAGTGTAGATATTAAATTGTTCAAATCATGACCCCCGGGGGTAGGGCGGGGCCACAATGGGGAATCCAAGTTTTACATAGAAATATATAGAACAAATCTTTAAAAATCTTCTTCTCAAGAACCACTGGGCCAGAAAAGCTGAAACATATGTGGGAGCATCCTTTGGTAGTGTAAATATTAAATTGTTAAAATCATGACCCCCGGGGCAAAGGCGGGGCCAAAATGGGAATCCAAGTTTTACATAGAAATATATAGAAAAATCTTTAAAAATCTTCTTCTCCAGAACCACTGGGCCAGGAAAGAAATTTATGAAACTCATGTGGTAAAAATTATGACCCTCAGGGTAGTGTGGAATCCAAGTTTTTAGAAATATATAGAACAAATCTTTAAAAATCTTCTTTTCAAGAACCACTGGACCCTTATGTGGAAGCAAGGGTGGATATTAAATTGCCAACCCCAACGGGGCCACAACAGGGAATCCAAGTTTTACATAGAAATATATAGAAAAATCTTTAAAAATCTTCTTCTCCAGAACCACTTGGCCAGGAAAGCTGAAACTTATGTGGAATCATCCTGGGTAGTGTAGATATTAAGTTTGTTAAAATTATGACCCTCGGGCAAAGGCGGGGTCAAAATGGGAATCCCAAGTTTTACATAGAAATATATATAGAAAAATCTTTAAAAATCTTCTGCAACCACTAGGACAGATTATGAAAAATGATAATTCCATGCATAAACTTTCAGCGATCACACCGAAGAACCAAAAATTGAAATAATATAATTTATTATCATTCATCATTATTAGACTAATGTATGTATCAAGAGACATAAAAACAGTTTGGAATCTTATTTGACCATTTTCAATTTGGGGTTAGATTTTTTTCTTTTTTTTTTCTCAAAAACATATTTTCTATTTCAAATTATCTTCAGTTTATAGTGCGCCTGGTCTACACAGGAAAGTCGCCGAGCTTTCTAAAACATATGGACCTGTTGTGCGACTCTCTGCAGGTAAGTAAGGCCCATAATTCAATGTCAGATTACCTATTTTGTCTTTGCAAGAGTATATATATATAGGAAAAATTCTTTAAAAATCTTAGCGCATTGATGAAAAAGTTTACTCAAGATACATCGATCAAAGAAAAAATTATTACACATTTCTTATCATTTAATTATGATTTTAAATTAATAAAATGAAAGTTTCTTTCACTTTTCTATTAAATTTATGCATCAAAATCAGTGCGCACGAATACATCACCATAACTTTAGCGTTGCTGAAAATTCAAAGTGTAGAAAAACGTTTCAAACAGTTTGATTACCAAGTCGCCAAAAATAATTTACAGTTCTTTAACACAAAAAACTTACCTGTTGTGTTATCCCTCTGATTATATTTTCCTCGGTAAGTTATCTAAGTTCGTAAATGTAAAGGGAAGCTACTCAAATATTTACATAGGATATATAGAAATTTTGGATTTTTTAAAATCTTTTCATTTGAATTTCAAACCGAATATATATATACGTATACCTTTCAATGCTGTAAAACCTATGATTTGCTGCCGATTGTTCAAGATTAAAGAATTCCATCCTCAATTCATGCAATCATCCGTTTCCCACGATTTAGGCCTAACAGATTTACGGTTTTCCCCGCTTTGGTAGCATAATAAAACATTTTTAGTTTCAAATTATCAAATTTTCCATCAAAATGTGAACTAATTGCAACAGTTTCAAAATTTAGTTTTAATCAATCTATGATATGATCTGAATATATAACAAAAAGTTTAGAAAAATTTATACATGGGAAAATTGAAAAATTGGGGTCCTTATTGGGACGTATTGTGTTCACTCTGATTAAGTGTTAAACGAACAATGTAAAGTAGAGACTTCTATACTGGTTTAAAAAAAAACAAGTAAGTAGAGAATAAAACTTAACTGAATATACTGAATTGGACAAATATTAAACATTGGTTACTATATGTGTTGGTTGCCATGGAAACAGTATAAATTGAGAATATCACCTACTTTTGAACAATGAACCTTTAAAAACACGAATACAGTCACTACATTAGTTTACACTCATACTCAAAATGCATTCTTTTGCCATAAATCTTCAAATAAATTATTTAGAAGATTTATATAAAAATTTGGATACATTATAAATTAATTTTACATGAAAAATTTCGGTATTTAGCAATTAAGTATAGCACAAATATACTCAATCACCAAAAGTTAAGAAACAATAAAATGTTTTAATTCATATGAAAGGTAATATCCGAAAATAATTAGGAGCAGACTTAGAGGGGTCAGGGGACATCCCCCAATAAGAATTGTTTTATGAAAAAGTAGCAGAAAATGACCCCCCCCCCCCCAAAAAAAAAAAAACTGAATCCCTCCTGTATCTGCAAGGTTTTCCCCGTATATGAAGAAAATTGACATGTGTGAAGATCTCATAGAACTCCATTCCTCCCCGAAATAGATTTATATGTTTTTATTCTGGATTAGGTAGGTTGTTATTTTTTTTTTTTTGTAAAAAAATATTCTGAAATCTGAATTTTTTTTTACGCACAGCAAAGCTGTTCCCCATAGATTACATTGTAGTTGTGTTTTCTTCCCTTCAGAAAATTTTATTTCAACACGTGACACCAGTTTTGAGTCCCTGCAATATGATTGGTTGGTAACTTGTATAAAATGCCCAGAAATAAAAAAAATACTCTGTTTACATCAGTATCATAAAATGCTTGTACACTATAATGAGTATGATGGTTCTTGCTTGATCAGAACTTGAACCCACCCTATACCCGGGTACCCTACAGGGTATTTCTTTTCATGAGTTTAATAAAAGTGCTATCTTACTTATATCAAGTGGATCAATGTATTTCTTTTTACCCTCCATATAAGGAAACCACGCCCTCCGGTGTGATAAGAACATATCAACATGCTGTCAATGTTGCTTCATGGATGGTGATATTCCAAAAAATATTTCAAGATTTTTTCAGTGTACTTACACCCTCAACTACATTCAATAATATGAAGATAAGATACGTTTTAGGATAAAATCTGAAATTGTTATACCTTGAAAATGATCATTGTTGACCAAGATGTAGCCGAATCAACAGTTATTAAATTGCATTGAGTACAAAATATCGTGAAATGTGCATGCAAAGGTTCTGCGCAGTTAATAATTATTATATTGTTACCCTTCTTAAATCTTAATGTATTTCAAACCGTTGCTATGTAATGTTACTTGTAGTGGGTGGGGGCAATTGAAAGCACACAGTAGATTATTTTATTCTTATTGATAAAAAAATCTAAGGTCAAATTAAAGCAATTACACAAATGGAATGAAGTAAAAGAGAGCAAGCCAAGTATTTGTTTCAAGGAAGAATAAAATGTTAACCTCTTGGTAGATACTGGTAGTCAATTTTTACTTGTTCAAATTCATATGTAAAAGTATCATTGTTATATTTTCCCCAAATATTTTTTTCCTAACAGTAATAGAAATTATAAGACTTTGGCTTTAATCTAGGAAATCACCCGCATTGTGCAGTGGTTAGAGCATCTGCTCTAGAGTTGCAAAGTAAGGAGTCGAAATCCCACTGTGGGATGTGGAGACCGGTCGGACAAGACCGTATAAACTGAGGTCCCGTGTCGCAGTAGGCACTGGCGCGAAAAAGATCCCTCAATGCTTAATGGCTCTAAGTGCTGAGTATAGAACAAAATGTGCAGCTCTCCACTGGCATGGGGTGGCGTCTCCATATGCATGAAAAATTCTCGAGAGGGACGTTAAACAATATACAATTATAGTAGAAAGATTCACGTCCATCTATTTTTCTTTTTTCAGTGTTGCTCTTATTAAGAAGTGACTTTGAAAGTGTTCCAAATTGTTCACATTCTAAAGCATGCTCATGGAAACGCTGTTTCACCAGTCCCCATAAAAATGTAAAATGGAGCTTCAATAAGTGCCGCATCAGGCATTTTACTATTGCAAAAATGACCATATGATCTACAAGGAGAAGTTAAGTTTTCAAAAATGGGTTTAAAATATTTTGTTAAAAAATTATATTGAGAATCTTAAAAAAGAGCATTTAAGCATTTAATTCTGTCTAAACGATGCCATTTGAATTATTTCCATTACTATAAACATAATGCAGCTTTTGTACATGTATAGATGCATGGTGCAGTCTTTATAGAGAAAAAGGTCAATAGCAATTGACTATTTATATAAGGTTTGCTACTCTTTACAAAAGCAATAAGCAGTAAATCTGGAGAGCAAAAAACTGTTTGAATCACACAGTTCAAATTGTTGTGTTATGCCTGAATGGAATTAAATATTTGATTTTTTTTTTTTAAACTTTGAGACCTTCAAATCAAATCCTGTTCATGTGATTCCATAAATTCTGTACTCTTTATTTCAAAATGATAAATTTCTATAAATTTTCTAGATATTTAACCAAAATATATTCTGTGATGATGCAATTGTAACAACTCTGATATACATTGTACATGTACTTGAATATATATTACGTCTGATAAGCTTCCTTGCAGAATTCTTTAGAAAAGGCTGTTTTGACTTATTTTGTATACAAACTGTGATCCATACTTTTTTTGTTTCTTGTGTATAAATTCCAAACTACTTGGGTATAAATATCCATTAGGTGCTGACAAATAAAATGAAAGTAAATACATTCACATTTAGGAATTTCACATACATGTATATTGTGAATACAAAGACCGCTCATACTTTTTTGTTTACATCAATGGTAATTGCAACCATTATACAGCTGTTACACATGTGTAGATAATATACCGGTGTGGAAGTCAAAACTTCACTTCTTTGAAAATCAAAATATATAATTTTTTTGATTTAGTTTTGATTGCATAACAAACTACAGGTTAAAACAACAACTTTTAATGCTAATTGGCTATATTGTTTACAGGCTGTCTGTCATAGAAAGCTCAATGTAGAAAAAGTATGGTGTGCAAATGGGTAATTCTAAATTCATATTGATCCCTAATTTTAATCTTTCGATTTCCCAACTTTCCCATGAGTGAATTTTTCTAAACTTTTTATATGTGAGTTACTAATAGCTTATCTACAAATCTGCATTAAAATATAAACTGTTGCAATTAGTTCTCATTTTTCAGTAGAATGACTAGACTATTTTTTCAGAGTTCTATTGTTTCATACCAGATATCTCAAAGTCAAACATTTAAGAAAAGTATGCCGATTAAATGATTTCTTCCCTTCCTTCCCGTAACTGTATTGCAGACGATTTTAATTTGTTTAGCAAAGGGGGATAATTCAAAATGAAACGAAAGTAGAAAGTAAGTCAGGAACCTAACGGACAGGTTCCGAAATTCAGGAAAATATTTATTAAAGCAAAGGTATTTAATTATTCCTTCAAAAAGTAACCTGGAAGCGGGGAATATACATGTACCGACTGTCAAAGTAGTTCCGGATGCTTAGTGCAACCGCACTCTAGATTTTATTGATGCAGTTATCAAAAGAATTTTTTATCCAATAAGAATCAAGTATTTTATAGAAATTAAATGATAATCATTTCCAAAAAAAAACAAACAAACAAACAAAAACGCCACCCTATGTGCTTAATTGTCAAATTACCCCTAAAAAAAGTCATCAATTTATTTTTAGAAATTGTTTTTTCTGTAATAATGTTATATTAAATTGAAATTAAAATGTTAATTTTTGTCCTTTTGATTAATCATTAACACTTTAAAACCAGAACAGATTCAGCATCTGATGTTTTCTCGGACGTCCGCGTTGAATAAAGCGTGATCGTCTGAGAAAACATTAAATTTTCGCAGACGTCTGCGATTACGAACCGACTCGGACGTCCGAGAAAACACTGGATTGAAATTCAACTTTCAAAAAACATTTCAATCCATTTTTGAAAACAGATTAATATATCGCGTTTGTAGTCATCAATTTTCAAACAAATTATATATATTTAGCATATTGAAAAGAATCTCTATAATTCCTGTAAATTTCATTAAAAAAATATTTGGAAACATTTAAGTTGAAAAAGTCGACTTTTTCCCTTATTCCCGTAAAACTATTTTTTAAATGGTCAGTATTGAAGGGTTTCATAAAATAATTATGAAAGTAACAAACATAGCAACTATATGCCATTTTGCGTTTGCACGCGCGCACGTGCGCACATGTCCTTGTATCTAATTTTGATAGTAGCATAATGTAGGGATAAACAGTGAAAGATATGTAGTAAAGTGATGCAAAAAAGTGTTAATTTTAAAAAGAAAAGTTAACATTTTTGATTTATTTTATCACTTCCTGTAACGACCGTAAGGAACAAATGATCCTAGCTATTACACTGTATTTATAATAATTCTATCCTTCAGGCCCATCAGCATGGGTTTTTCTTAATAATAATGAGGTTGTCTTGGAGGCGCTGGTTAAAAGAAATACAGATTTTGCAGGACGAACACCATTTCCATCAGGTTACACATACTTTGAAAAATTTACAACTATTGGAATTTACTATTTTGTGTTATACATGTTCATTAAACATTTTTGATGCCAATTTTATGAGTGCATATTATTTTAAATTCGTACTGAATTGTCTATATTGTGTTTATGTCACATCATTTAAGGAATTTTATTTATACATGTATTGATTTATTTTATTTCTTTATTTGATTACTCATTTATTATATTAATGATCATTTATGTGTTTTATTTTGTATAGAATTTATATTGTTTTCATTTTTTTTTTTTGTTAATTTTGCAGGAGAAATGTTTACTGATGGAGGAAAAGACATAGCATTGAGTACATTTACACCTACGTGGAGATTCCACAGAAAAGTGGCAGGAAAAGCACTTCGGTAAAAATATCTTAAACAAATTTTGTATATACATGTACTTGCCATTAGTTGGCACAAAAATTAATGTTCTTCTGAACAAAATTGGTAGGGATTCTGTTTATTAAAAAATACAGAATTAAAAGCTTTATAGATCTTGGCAAGAGAATTGAAAATTTGGTTGATTCATAAAATACACTTTGGGTGGTGTTTTCAACTCAGATCAATATACATGTATTCAAAACCATTAGCAGAACATTGAAATAAATCCAAATATCAAAAGAATGTAAAAAAAAAAAAGTTTTAAGCGACACAAATAATAGTTTTTTTAAAGTAAGTATATGTCTAACTATTTATTGTAGAAGTGGTACCTTTGTTTATTTAATGTTTCATATAGTACATGTACTTCTTTTTTTTTCAATTGACTCATTCTTGTTTCCTTGTTGCCAAAACCATAAGAAAAACAATCCAAATAGATTCAGCATACAATGCAAGAATCCTATACAAAAAAAGTGCTGAAAATAATATATATAATTTCCACATTGCAGAATTCAAAAGGGAATCCTGATATATTTATTTGCTAGGTTTCTTTAAGGTGTTTTTTTTTAATAATTTATATTTTCAGTTTTTGCGGAAATTGGACTTTTTATTCATTTGTTCATAAAATCTTTGTTGTCAACATATTCAAGCTAATTGCATTACATCTCAGTGTGCGTGTCTAAGACTTAAGTTGTTTTTTTTTTTTCTTTTCATTAATTTTTTTATTATTATTATGCAAACTTTTTTCAGCTTCAATCATATAGTAAAAATTAAGAATATCAACGGAACGTGTCACTTCTAATTATTAATTTCTAAACTTTTGTCCAATGTTTTATTTTAGGCACTATTTACAAGGAGATCTTCTAGAAAACATGATACAAGACAACATGACCAAGTTCTTGGATAAAATGGCCAAGGAAAGAGGACCGTTTGAGTTCAATAATTATGCTAACCTTATCGTTTTCAGTCAACTATACACAATTTGCTTCGGAGAGAAGTAAGTTTCTGGATTTAAATCAGAAATTTAAACGTCTATATATGTCAAGTTTTAAAGTTTTTTCTTCGTCTGTATTGAATTCATTGTTCTTTTTGGAAAGGAAATCACCTGATGACCCGGAGGTGAAGTCACTATTGAAGCTTGACGAGGAATTGGTCGAGACATGGGGAGTAGGAGTCTTCATGTTGTTTGAAGATGTTTTTCCGTATCTCAAAGACATATTCCCGTCGAAAACGTGGAGAAAACTTACAAAGATAACAGAGGATCTGTTTAAAGTGATCCGCGCTAAATTTTATGAACACAAAGCAACATTTCAATCAGGTTTGAATATGTATTGAGGAAAACATTTTCAAAGAATGTTTAAATTTTCTGAAAGAAAGAGTCGATAATTTTTCACAGACATTATCTATTTTGGGGGAAATTTATTAGTAGCTAGGATATTAAAGCTTTAATTAAGTTTATAATGCCTATATGAAGGCATTTCTCACATTTATTTTTACGAATGTTGGCTCCTAATGATTTTAAAGCTATATTTACTGATCATGATGTACCAACATGATTTTCTTTCATTACTAATTAGGCGTTAACAGAGACTTTACTGACAGTTTACTTACGGCCAGACAAGAAGCTGAAAACGAGGGGGACGAGGAAACTCTGGAGAAACTTGACGATACATATTTAATTCAAACCATTATGGATATCTTCTTGGGTGCGTTTCTTTTATTCCAATGACTGGTCATGTATCGGTGAAACTGCGTGACTGATTTATTATATTGTTTTTAATCATATCCATATCTTTCAGCTGGAACAGAAACCACTAGATTTACTCTGGACTGGTTCATAAATTTTATGTCTGGAATTCCAGAATTCCAGAGTAAATGTCAGGAGGAAATAGACCGAGTTGTAGGTAGGTAATAGGATGTAATACAATTTACACTGAATTTCAACTCAAAACTTTCGTATACTAATTTGTTTGTTTGTTTCTTGTACTTTATTTAAAGGCTCAGACCGCATATCAATGAAGCATCGAAACGCCTTGGATTTTACCGAGGCCTGCTTGTTTGAAACATGGCGAAGGGCATCTTTAGTTGCTTTGGGTATACCACACGCCACAATGTGTGATACAAAAGTTGGTAGGTTGTTATGTTATTTCTTTAAAACATGAATCGCTTAAATTGTGTTTCATAACTACATGTGAGTAACTTTCATTTTCACGTGTTAGCAGTGTAATACAGACGTAGTTAAATCCTCTTTTTATGAAAAATTGAAAGGATTTGGATTTCTTAGTGAATAATAATTGTGTTAATTCTAGACGTTTTTTAATTGAAAACTTGTCTAATCATGATGCCACTGGTTTCAAAGAAAATAGTCGGGTTAGGCAACCTTCCGGATCATACAACATTTTAAACAAATCGATTTACTGAAACAGTGTGAAATGGACTTTTAAAGTTAACATCGTGTTAAGCTTTAAGCAAGATGACGGATCACACAACATCCGGATTACACAGGTTTCACTGATCCGGGTTATACAGGTTTTACTGCATATTATATTTTTTCATCTATGTGCACCATCTTTATAATAATTACACTTTTTTAACTCATTTAAATTAGCGGTTACTTTTTATGCACAAACAGGAGGTTACGACATCCCGAAAGGCACAGCGGTCTTTATCAACATTTGGGCGCTTCACAATGATCCTAAATATTGGAAGGATCCCGAGAAGTTTGACCCTTATCGTTTCCTGGATCAAAATGGTAAATTGAAAGCGACAAAACCTGAGAGTTGGCTCCCTTTTTCGGCAGGTCGTCGAGTGTGTTTGGGAGAGACTCTCGCTAAACCGGATATTCTACTAATGTGTGCAAATCTGCTACAGAGATTTGAGATCCGCCTCCCCCCGGGTGTCAAACCGCAGCTTGGTGGCAGAGTTCTCTCTGATGGCATTGACATACCGGTGGATTACAAGATTGTCGTCAAGGAACGTCAAAAAGAAATAAAGATTTAGAAAAATATTTTATTGTTATTATGGAACTCACGTATGTGTTTTGATTTTTATGTTGTACAGATTGTGCATAAAAAGTTTCGCTTGATATGAAATATGAAAATTTTACCAGTATTTTTTTTTTGGTCATATAGAGTGACTCAAGTTATCATGGGTTATTTTTATTATTTCAATAGAATAGATCAACAACACAGTATTAGCAGTCTTTATCATGGCTTTACTTTATTAATACATGTTGAAATCAAATTTGACAAACACTATATAATTAATCCACTACATTATTGTATTATGTTATACATGTTATATGTCATTAAAGTAAAATGTGTGATCTACATCGACTTTGGTTAGTTATGATGCAAGATCATCATTCAATAAATTTATCAATCTGTCAATATTTCAGAAAATCAATATTTCAATCAAACAACACAAGAAACAACATATCAATGAACATTTTCAATCAATAAGCCCAATTATTGGCTACAGACCTGGAAGAAAACAGAATCAGTGGCAGGCTTAAGCAAAATTCGGCCATATGTCTTCATGTATGATAAATAGATTAATATAATACATGAATACATCCGCCACAAGCGGACAAAATTTTGCTTCAGTGCCATGACAGGTAGACTGAATTTAAACGGAGGGAGGTGGAGGATAAACATTGGCATTACTACGTATGATATGAAGTAATCCTTGGCGAATAGTGTTTAAAAATATAACCTGAGCGGTATTGGACAAATGTGTTCCATTACGATATAACTTAGATGTACATTGCTGCAGATCTGGGTATTTCATGTATGCGCCGTTACGTGCCACTAAGAATAGTGCTAGGGATGTGTTAATTCATATCCGGGCTTCCTCAGCTGCAATGTTTAATAGCATGTTTCTATAGTAATTTCTTGGGAGTATCTGGGACCATATAAAACGTGTGTTTGGTAAAAGGGCTTGCAATTTAACAAAACTTAATTTCAAAAATTTTTGAAGCCTTCGCAATGGCATAGTGCCTATACTACTAGTATTGCCTCCACATTGCATCAATACAAAATCAGAATGTCCCTTTTGATCAACTAGATGATTAACTGTGGACTTGCAGGAACAAAATTAGAATCTAATGTAAGAATTGAATGCATTAGACTTCCATCTACCTTTGGACTTAATGTCCTCATCAGAAACACCTTGTGAATACAAATGAGTAGCCCCATCTATTCTGAATGAGTGTGATTTGGATATAGATGTGTCTAAACCATTGAATTTGACGTCTTTGTGTAGGAGTGATGTTTGGTGAGAGGTTTACCGTTAATATGGCAGAAAAAATTGACCTTGTACTTGGGGTTGGATTGACAAAAAATTGTGCGCATGTTTGAATAAAGATGCACTTTGAGGACTGTATGTAATTTGTAACGTGGTACCCCTACGATATTGGTCAGTTGTTGAACCTTTGATAAACAAAGAATTCTTTTCTTCATTGATGGTGTCTTGGAAGTCTTGGAAAGATAGTACCGGTGTGAAGTTACTGGTGAATGTAAATTCACTAATGCGCAGCAGTGCGAAAAATGCTAAATGAAATGCAGTTGAAAACATTGTGGTTTCATATGTTTCAACAAACTCTGGGTAGAATTGATACCATTTGATGTAATATTTGTAGGGAAATTGGGGATTGAAGGTCTTTTGTTGGATTTAGCGTACGGAAACCTTCCAACATTTTCTTAACTAAAACGGCTTTAGTGTTGTCCAAACCCCCCTCTAACTGGATTTTGTAACTGATACCACTTAAGTAACATCTTGCTGTAGCGTGAGATATCTGATTTGTATGGAGGTATGCAATGTAGTTGATAATCTGATGGATTGTTAGAGGCCAAGATAAGTCAAAATAATATTTAGAGCGTAAGGTTTCGAAAGAGATAATGTCCTTTTGATATGTTGAAGCAGTATTTTAAGATACTGCTGCTTTGGGCAAACTTTCTACATGTTGTTTAAGAGAGTTGTCAATGCCGGAGTATACTGACTGGAATCTTGTCTGCCTGAGGAGCCAAGGTTCTGAATCTTTCCAAATGAAATCAAGAAATTGAATCGGCGATAGAATTTTGATAACCTGGAACATGGAGAGTTTTAATCTGAATGTTATGCCTAATGCATAACAATATTAATGGCCTTAAAAGTGTCATGACCCTTTGAGACTTGCTTGTCTGGGAATTAAGATTATGAACCAAAGCAAAGTTGTCAGTATTTATCAATAATTTTTTTCCTGCAACATAATCCACCCAAACCCAAATAGCCAACAGAATCGGTATTAGTTCTAAAAAGGTGATATCCCTTCGAATATCTGGGCCCCATGATGCTGGCCAGGAAATAACTGCCCAGTGATTCTGAAAAATTGCACCTCGACCGTACGAACAGCAACTATCGGTGAAAAGGTTAAGGGACACATTACTTGACCAGGATAGTTCAGGGAATGGAGAGCGCCCATTGTTGTCTTTGGGAAATGTTAGAACCAAACCTTAATGTCCTCCTTAACAACTTATGTAACCTTTATCAAAAAGTAATGTTTCTTAATGCCAGTTGTATTGTAAAACCTGCGATTAAACGCTCTGCTGCCTGGGATTGCTTTTGCAAAAAAGTTTAGGGACCCACAAAGTGATTCCATTTCCTTGAGTGTTACTTTTTTGGATGAAATGAGTGATGTAAGCTTATACTTGTTTTTTTTTGTCATTTATTGGGACGCCTAGTTCACCACAGCTTAGCTTAAATGTTTTGGCGAGTTCAGAACATTGTGGAGTATTTTGGCTTCCGGCAAATAAGAAAATCATCTAGGTAATGAATGATGTTTTGATTTGGGCTTTTTGTGCTACCAACCAGTGCAGGAATGATGAGAATTTTTTGAATGTTGAACAAGCTATGGAGCAACCAAAAGGCATGCACGTATCAAAATAATATTTATCTTGAATACACATACCTAACAAAAAAAAACCTGTAGGATGAATTGGTTAAAGTCTAAATGCACTGGACAAATCCATCTTACAGAGTAATGCCCCTTTGCCATTTTTTTGAATCATGGAAATTGCCAGGTCAAAGGAGTTGTAGCTATAGAGACTGAACATAAAATTGGGTCAATTTGCTCATTGAAACTATTGCCTATTGGTGCTGACAGGTTTGAAATCAACCTCCATCCACCGTCGTTTTAGGCAACACTCCGACTGGGTTACACCTAAGGTTGGAGAAGGGAGGGCTAGGGAAAGGGTCATGCGACCTTAGCTTATTTAAAACTCTTTTTTAATAATTGACAATAATTCTTGCACATGTTCCTTAGCAGACTTCATGTTCTTTGGTTGTAAATAGTCTCTAGGGCCTGCATAATTCAGATAACAACCAGATGTAAAACCGTTGAGTAACAATTGGGCATCTTGAACTTGAGGGTACAAAGCTAGGTATTTCTGTAGTACTGGGAGCTTAGTTGGAGTGGAACCTAAATCTTGGTCTTGGTGACTGGTATTGCCTTGGGCGATAGGGACGAAAATTCAAGTTGGATTGTTGGGCATAATTTTGCTCTCCCGCGGTTGGGTGAGTTACGTTTAATCTAGTGTTGTTGGTAGTTGGTATTAGGCCTTGAAAATTGAGTTAGCGTCGACTGGTAGGACCAGCAGTGTATACGTGGAAAGGTTTTGTTACAGTATATGGTGGCAGAGGATAGTTTTTTTTGCAATCAAAAAGTTTGACTGACGGTTTACTTAATATTGAGCTGCTTTTAAAATGTGCATTGAAAAATTTTAAATTCCCTCTACATGTAATAATAGTATGATGTAGTCCCTTGAGAAATTTGAAGCTTTTAGGAATTGTACAACTTACACAATGAGCCCTATCTCAAAATTTCATGTGAATCAAGCCTATTTTCACTATTTCGCCGCAGCCGCATCTGCTCCCAGGCCCGTGCTGATGACCTAAGCTACCACACAAATTGCAGAATAACATTTGAACATACCAATGAACAGCAAGAGATATGGGCTCAACCACCTCGTTTTCAAGCTACAATTCATCCTGTGAACCCACCCCGCTTTTCTGGTGAAATACCGGTAGAGCGAGTTTTGAGCTTAGTTTCGTATTTCTAGTCCATATCCCCTATACAGTAGTAGTGACACTAAAGTGTCATATTTCAATAAAATATACAAGGCCACCAATTCAAATGCACCCATAAAATATTCTAGCTATAAAATTACCTGTAATATGCATTGTATTTTTTGACCGGTACTTTATTCGAAACTATCCTCTGCCACCTATGCATGTGTGTTGATAAAGACACTGGGATTTCTGGCATGAGCCTTTGAGATTGTATTCAAAGCATTTAATTGACGCTTTTGTTCGTTGAGCAGTGAGGTTAGGTTGGGCCTGCATGTATATTAACCACAACTCTGTGTCGACGTAACCAAATGAAATTTATGTATTTTTGGACATTTTAAGACGGAACTGTCTGTCTATTCGAGCCAAGTAGTATTTGTGCTTTGGCTGTAGCCTAGGCACACTGTGTGTATATATTTCAATATGCCCTGAATATCCGAAGAGTGCCTAGCGAGTTATATGCTAGCGAATATTAAAAAGGCATCAACCCAACTTTGGATTGTAATGATTTTGGTTGGTTTGGTTTTGGGTTCGATGACCAATTGACCTTCAACAATGGAGAATTTATGCGTATCTTGATTATCTATTTATGAGGAAATAACCTTTGCCAAGTCAATATATTGCTTCGACCAAATTTTTTCTTTGATGGCCTGGGGGACATGAACCCCAGGTTCATCTGTAATACTAATTTAATACTAATTAAAGGGTTTTCACCTGATGTCAAGGATTCCTCTGGTGTAATCTCCCCTATAGAGAGTGGATTGAGGGTTGCCACTGAGGAACTGGAATTCTTGCTAGCTGACTGTGGGACTTCGGGAGGTTTTGGGACTTCGGGAGGATTGAGGGTTGCCACTAAGGAACTGGAATTCTTCCTAGCTGACTGTAGGACTTCGGGAGGTTGTGGGACTTTGGAAGGATTGAGGGTTGCCACCGAGGAATTAGGAGTCTGGCTGGTTGGCTGCGAAGCCTGGATTGCTGTGATCACGGGCACAGTGGCTGTGATGGACATGTCGGATGGGGTCCTGACAGGCTTAGCATAGGGTGACTTGGGTTTCCTTTTGCTACACCGCAACATTCCCTAGGAATTCGTAAGACTAAATATATTGACTGTTATATTAACATATTCATGGTAGCCTAGAGGCTAGCTAAGCAGGTCTGCACGGTCCCGACGAAACTTAACGTTAGGTAATAAAATTATTAAGCGCAGTCATAACTGTGTTAGAAATTATTTTTATTCCATTGCAGTTATTAATTCATATTCATAAACAGAAATACCTCAGGTTTTTCCAAACAAACCATGCGACAATGATGGCGGCAAAATGCCGAGAGGCTGATGGTCAAGCCACATGCACCTGAAGTGTGGATAATTAGCCCCCCTTTTTTAATGAAAAAAAATTGTAAGACTGTCTACTTTCTCAAAAATATAAAAATTTCCCCGTCAAACACATCTATCTGTCGTTATATGAAAGCAGATTGTACTTTCTCTCACGTTTAGAGAAGGGCCCTATTCGGAATAATAAAAATACACAAGGTAAGAAACTAAAGTTGTAAACAAACGGGGGGACCCCTGCTTCGAGACAAATTACAAGAAATAATTAGTGTTACCTCATAATTTTGCAAGCACTCTGTCAGGGAGATGTTCTTGGGTAACACTAATTATTATCTTGTTTATTTGTCTCGAAGCACGGGTTCTCCCGTTTGTTTACAACTTTTGTTTCTTAGCTTCTGTATTTTTTAAAATACCGAATATAACCGTTCTTTAAACGTGAGAAAAAGTACAATCTGCTTGCATATAACGACATATAGATGTGTTTGACGGGGAAATTATAAATGTTTGAGGTATTATACACTCTTACATTGTTTTTAATTTTTAAAAAAAGGGGGGGGGTATTATCCATACTTCAGGTGCCTGTGGGTCAAGCTGAAATCGGTTACCAATATCATAAGCCTAAATGACATCGAGCAAATCAAAATAAATGTAAGTAAGTACGTACCGTAGCTTCGTTGACCGTATACTTTACCAAAAATTATCGGATGGGTGTGAAGTATGAAGGAATCGCTCGATAGTATTTGGTTTGGTGAATTTTTGTTGAATTTCCAGAAAGTATTTTACAGGGGATGAACTCTTAACTCAAACTTAACTCATATTGAGTTAAGTTTGATTATTTCCCGTTGATCGCCATATTTAAGGTATACAAGCCCAAATTCCTTCACTATTCAATCAAATTAAACTTGTCAAACTGGGCAATTGGGGGAAGATAACACAATTTTTCTTACGAATTTATGTACACACAAGCATCCTTTAATTCATCATTTTAGTATTTTAAAGATTTTTTCCATTATATTTCTGCAATACAAGTTTTAAATTAGTAGCTTAAAAAGGAAAATTTGTTAGTTGGACCTCCAATATGGCGGCGAACGGTATAACTCTTGCTGAATTTAAGCCAGTCGAAAACTATTTCATCTTTATTTCAATCGAAACCATTATTTCAATAGTGATCGTTATCTAAATACAGTAACTGTAAACCAACAATTATTCGCGTGCGAGAAATATCCGAAAGTTTCGCGAACCATTTATTTTATCGTGCATTTGTAGATCACCTTTCCTTATTAGTCGCAAAAATTAATCGTCGCGGATTAATTTCACTGACGACTGACGAATCGCGAATAAAAGATGACGCGAATAATAGTTGGTTTACAACAGAGATTGCATTCCTTACCGGCAAGTTTTACTTAGTATCTGGTTCCAATCAGAAATAAAACACCATAATTCTATTCCATTGAAAAAATTATTGAAGCAGAACAAATGCAAACTTGATTTTTAACTCAGTATAGTAGACTTATAATTACATACCAAAAAACAGCTGAATATCTATACTTAATTAATGTTTATCATAAAATCAACTCATCTATCTTTCAAAGAGTTATTTCTAAGAAAACAACGAAAATGTAAATATTTGGGCTTAAGGTAGTCCGATCCTCGGGTTTATAAAATTAGCAGTTAAGTAATCAAAAATACTCATAAAAGTATCCAAAAGATTATGTAAAATTATCCATATTATTTCTTTAAACATTAAAGTTAATCATATTATATAGGGGAAATTGTAAATCTCCAATATTTTTGCAGAAAAAGCAAACTGGAATATCAGCAATGCATTTTCTAATTGCAAATTGATCAACAAATATGTTTTAGGTTAAAAAACGATAGGTATCCAGGCATTCAAAGAAATTGTCATGATTTTTACACTTATTTGGTTTTTTTTTTTTTGTCTTTTATTTCCGTCATCTATTCTATAATACATAGTGTAAAAGGCTTTCGCTATCATTGCAAGACATCACAAATCACTTCTCATTTCATATCATGCTAATAAGCATTGGTATCTAAAGCTGGATTCAAAAAAATATTATTTCTCTAAAACAGCATTAATTTTTTCTCTTTTTATAGGGTACAAATGTTGACTTTTATAAGACCTTTTCTAAGACTTCCAAAGACCTTGAATCTTTATAAAGATGAATAAAATGAAAATTGTTGCATGGAAAAATTTCATTTTCAAGATTCATTTTGATGCATTTCAAATTAAACATTAATTTTTTGAGTTATCCTTACTGGCTGAGGATCGGATATCCATAAAATCATAATTTTCAAAGGTTTCAAGAATTGCTTTTCGTACACAAATGTTATTCGTAAATTTTTTCATTGAAATGATTAAAATAAAAATAGAATACACTTGTAAAAATAAAAATCTTAAATGTTAACATAGTATAAATATATAGCGGGAAGGGGTTTAGTGACAATTATGATACCATACTGTTCCATGCAAATCACCAGCATTGCAGACAAACAATAACAAAATTCTCTTTTCTTTCCATCTAATAATAAAATGGATTGTTTTTACAGGTCCATAGTAAAACAATACGAAGTAAACACCCCACCCTATCCCTGCCCCTCCTCGCTTGACACACACATACACTTCTAATTTGTTAGCCAATGTACACATGCCGAAGATGCATATAAAGAGCTTTTAAAGAACCTATGGTTAATTTTTGGTCATTAGATATGTGTTATTGGTTAGAAATTTAATAAGACTATCAAACATATGCCAATCAAAGTTAAATAACTTGCTTTATAATTAAGTACAGTGTATTCAATATATAACGTCAGAGTCAGAAAAATGATACATTTTGATATTTTTATGCCCGTAAAAGCCCTTACGTTGGTCTCATTGTTTTACATGTAGTTCTAAATATTTTTACAGTGTGTTTCCCATGTTGGTTACATGTATATATTTGAATCAATTTTCTGATCTTTTTTGTTAAATGCAATAAAAAAAAATAATTATATTTTGTTTTATTACAATCATATTTTTTGTATTTTGCGTTGTCTTCAGTGCAAAAATAAAATAACGCAAAATATAACAACGAAAAAGCACGTTATTAAATTTTGCGTTGATCTCGATGCAAAATGTAATAACGCAAAATGCAATTATCTAAAAATCGTGTTATTACATTTTGCGTTGATATCGACGCAAAATGTAATAATCCAGGTTTATTACATTTCGTGTTGTTATTACATTTTGCGTTGTTACACAGCCCTCGTATAGCTTTTAAAATTAAAAAATAAAAAAATATCCAGCTTTTATAATATATTTTGTTTACAAACATATTATATTTATTATGAGTCTTTAAAAAAGCCTGCTTTGTAACACCTTCCACTAAATATGCAAAAAACTGCACTGTATTGATAGTGAATATACAAAATGAAATCGAGGATTTCCAGTGAAGAGGAAGATGTAATTCACGATTCCATTATCAATGACTCCTTTATCAATATCATTGATATGTGGAAGCTAAAGATTCCATCCTTTAATTGCTAATTTAAGCTGGTATTTTAACTAAGTTCATATTATCTTCAATGTCCATTACCCACATTCCTGTTTGAAATAAACTGACCTTTTATTCTTTCTTCTTATGTCTTGTCAAATATTTCGTTCAATTTCACAGTGAAATACATGTATTTTCTCTAATCTCTACTCTATCTCTATGATTACTATACCCTCCAGTTTTTCAGGCGGGGGTATAACACCTTGAATGTTTTCTATGTTCCTTTACTTTCCGAAATTTCATCGTTCATATTACTCATATTCTGGGATGAAATCTATTTCCGTCATTTTTTCCATGTACACTTTGTCGAATTCTTCGTTCAATGCCACAGTGAAATAGTTTTTCCAATCTCCCACTTCACCTAAAAAGTTTATGATAATATGTAACTGATTTTAGACAAATATATCAATGTAAAATGTAGTGTTCTATTTCTGCAAATGTCTTAATTTTCAATAATTTCTTTAATAGAGCGAGTTATCCTCCTTCAATTACCTTCCACTGTTTGTTGAAATCGCTACAGTACTGTATACAGGGTTATTTTCGTCCCGCAATTTTTTCGCACTTTCACACAATTTTGCCCAGTTTTAAATTCGCCCAGTCATATATTTTTGTTAAGGAAATATACTGTATTCTTTGAATTCGCGGTATTTTAAATCCGCCCAAATGAGGGGTAGAGTGAAAAGGGCCTATATAAAACGGGGGCGAAAATTCCCCTGTTTAGAGTATACTTAGTATACAAAGGATTCATCATGTGTGTGTGTTGATGAGGTGCTATGGATTTAGTGGGACATTTCTAAAAATTTACATCCCTTGGACAATTTATCTTTTAATATATTGAATCTTCTGTAAAAACAAGTTTCTTACGAAATGAAGTCCTTCCAAATACATAAAAATTTGCCCGAATATTGACCCCAAACGATTTTTTTTTTGAACGATTCAACGGTACAGCGACTGTACATGTACATTATATACAGCTGTACATGTACAACATTTTCATTTAAAAATAAATATACACCATTTTCATTTTAAATGTATATACACCATTTTCATTTTAAAAATGTTCATATATTTTTACAAAACACATGTGTTAAGGAGGGATTTTTCCTCATGTTTTTAATTACATTTAAAAATTTAATTGATACAAGACGACAAAAATCACCAGGTGATGGTATTTGTAACAACGAGATTTAATTTAATTTATTTCAGAAACAATAATAGAAAGCAAATGCTGCTGCAAATCATGTGATGCATAAATCTTTTTTTACAACAGAAAGGAGATATTTTCATACGCCACTGTACCACCAAAGATATAGTCCCTGCTAAATTTAAACCTCAAGTTACCTGTCTATATAAGGTTGTATAATTATGAGGAGGAAAGAGAAATATATTATTTTTTAAATCCCCGCCATATGAATGTATAGGACGGATAAAAGAAAACACTTTCAATATTTCATTCAGTCAAAAGTTTTTCAATACTAAATGGTGGGGTTTTTCTCTCCATTTTTTAAGGATATTTTGTTTGATAAAATGAAAATGATACCTTTTCTATACACTACGACATTTTCATTCAATGATAATTCCCTCATAGTTTCGGCCATCAGATTATCATCCCTGACGACTTTGTCGGCTTCTTTCATCTTGTTGAATGAACATTTATCTTCTATATCTGCTATGAGCTGATTGTCCCCTTTCACGCCTAGAAACCTGGCCAGTCTCAAAAGTTCTTCCTTTGTGTCCTATAAAAGCAAGTAAAGGAACATTTACTTTAATTCAACTTTATTCGTGTTTGAAAAACATTCGCGAGTTTCGCGACCAACTTTAATTTATTTATCGCCGTGAACCAGTAAATACGAGAATTTAAACATGCATAATTCTTTATTATTGTAATGTTACTTATATCAAGAAATGATTAAATAAATATACTAAGAGAAATCCCTTACTCTTTTGAGCTTCTCATATTCTATTACTAACATCTGATTCTTTAATGTGGCTGCTTTTTTGAGGAAGTCTTTGTTATATTCAAACCATCCTCCGTGCATGGCCTCTGAATTAAAACAAAATATAAGCACATGAGTATCTAAATGAGTTAACGAAAGAAAAGAAATGCATAGAAGTATATTGCATTATGATTTATTAAGGTCTTCCGTCTTCACGAAAGACCTTATAGTTATTGCTCTGTTTCTTATTATTATTATTATTTTTCTGACACGATATCTCGACAACTACTGGATAGAATTACATGAAATTTTCAGGAAAGATGTGTTGTAAGATACTCTTGAAAGTTTCAAGACAGTTTTTGGAAATTCCTCTCTGGTGCCAAGTTTTGGACCATTTTCCTGATTTTAAAATGACATTTTGTCTACGATTAAACTCAAAAACGGTAAAAGATATCAATGTGAAACTTTCAGAGTTTATAGATGATGATCAATACTTTCCAGGACGCAATAGTACTTCCTGTCGCTACCGGAAGCCAATTCAAAAAGTCCAAATTTTCAACTTTCTTTGTTTTTCAATATTTTTCATTTATTTTTGGAATATTAATAGAGACACTTCTATTGATGCTTACTATATAAGTTGTTTTAATATATCTGAACTCTAGGTATTAATATTTGAAAATCTAAAGCGGGCCCAAGATGGCGGCTGTCTCTGTCAACTCCGGCATTTCGCGAGTAGGGGCTTATGGAGGCAGCTGAGCGTTTGATTAAACCATTCTGAAATAAGGATACATGAAATGCAAAAAACTACTCGGACTATCACGTAGTAGAACGTTGCAATTCAGTGTCAATCTTAAAAAACTTTATTTACGTCTCACTGCTTTAGTGTTACTGGGCTAGATACGATATGTAATGTGTACAATGTGTTAAATATACTTTCCTAACGCCGAAATAAAATAAAGGTGATAAGAATGTTTTATTTAATTAATTTCATTGAAGCTAATAATAAGTACAAAGAAAAGGTGCGAATATTTACGCGTGGCGTTTGACACGAAATTATGAATAATGTCCCGCCTTTTATGATTCTTAGACAGGTGCACTGTTGCAAAAGTATACACAAGTATATTTAAAGCAGTATTCCCAATAGCTAAATGGTTCGCGCGTTGGGGAGAAAAGAGAAAAAAAATGCGCATTCACGTTGGCGACCTGGATTCACTCCTCCTTGTGATCAAAATTTTTAATCGCTTTTTAGTTCGATTTTACAAGTTTTTTTTTCCTGAATCGGACGGAAGACCTCTCGTTGCTCGCAACGAGATCGTATCTAGTTATTTTTTATTATTTAATTTTACTTTATAGGGTGCACTTTTACTACAGAAATCATTTTACTTACTCGGTCCCAAAAAGTCCTCATGGACAAAATCTTCGAAACTTGTATCCTTGATATATCCAGAAGAATTAAATATTTTAAACATAGAAACTGCAGTGTCCTTGGGGTTTCGAATAACTAAGATAATTTTTCCGCAGCCACTCACGTGTTGTTTTGGAAGCCATTGGAATGGTACATGTGTGCTTACAACTCTGTTGTAAAGATGCATTTGACCAAGGTCAGAAAATCCCTCCAAATACACGGTCTCTCTAGAATTACTGCAATATTCCGCCTTTCCTTTAAGCAACATTTCAGTCATTTCATACACCCAGTGTGTTCCTATTTTAAGTAAATGTGATATATTATACATTGTATAAACATATATTTCTTCAATTTAATGAACATTCTTTGTTTATATGCATTTTTAAAATGCTAGAGTTACATACGACGTTTCCCCACTGCTGTTTGTCATGTAATTTTCTCCTTTATTTTTGTAAGTTTCGTATGATGATGATATATATATATATATATATATATATATATATATATATATATATATATATATATATATATATATATATATATATATATATATATATATATATATATATATATATATATATATATATCTTGAAACTCACCTGATCGTGGATATGTCGCTAGAATGATTGCATCAGGACCTAACATCAGGTCCCTTATAGACGTCAGGGTGTGTCCTGGATCTTTCAAAAATGTGGGGATCTTGGGTAGGTGGAGTCCTTCATAGACTGGAATTTCCATATCACATACATCAACCGCCATGATGGACTGTCATAAACAAACTGCCTTGGGCTATTTCTTGATCTTTAGGTATAAATGAAATGTATAATTGATGAGATAAACGACGGGGCTCTTCAAGTTATATATGTTCTGATTTGAATGATGGAGTGTACTATCTATGCAAGAATAATTTTTGAGGTCAAAAAAAAAATTTGGAATGCAATGTAGGGAATTGAAAAGTTTTTGTGCTGATCAATTATGTACATTCAGGTATAAAATTCTGTTATTGTATAGCAATTGCTGGGTATTTATTCTAACAAAAAATATATTTATTACTAAATGCATGACAGTGTTTGTTGCTCTGCATCAATACAACCTCTGCATTTCTAATATGTACCTCTCTGAATTTCAGTTGATAGAGAATAAAGTGAATTTTTGAACACTTTGTATTCTGTAGTACAGGGATGGTCAAAGGTATTACTAACCCTGTGGTTTAATTGTTTTAGGTGACATTATATGTTATATTAAAGGCATTTGAAATAAAAGCATGCTCATTTCTTATTGCATTTCAAGCATTTTTTACTCAACAAGTATCTAGTAAGCTGTAGTAGGAAATCAAACAAATCATATTTCTATTACCATGATTATATTATGTTACTTAGTAATTCTTAAAAAAAAAAATCAATATATTTATTACACTAAAAAATAACAGAAATGTCCAATTTCATCTTATAGTCATAAGATATTTTTGTGAAAAAGCCACAGATTCCTAGCTGTAGGAAAAGTAAGCTTCCACTGTTAGTTTAATAAGTATTTTATTCATGATATACAAAGAAGTATACAATGTAAGTGTGGATTGAAACAGCAGGCCTAGGGCCTATATTAGTTCTCTCCATTGGAGATCAAGTGCAAATATAAATACTGTACATATTTGAAGTTTTACAAGGACATGTATTTTAAACTAATATTGAAAGGGTTACAGAGTACAAATTTGATGAAAAAATGAGGGAGAAAATAGGGAAACAATAAAATTTATATAAATAAAGCGCAGAAAAGAGGGGAATGCTCAGAACCATATGTTTTTGTATACTTTCAACCTAAAAGTCAAGGTTGAAAGACATGCTGCACAATACTTAGTATATTTTCTTATTCTAAAATCAAAGAACAAAATATTTTCTCTAAGAGTAGACAGTCATAACCAGATAATACGGTACATCTCTTGGTATATCATGGTCATTCATATATGTAATTAAAGAGTTCCTGGCAGGACTATAAGCTTCCCCTGTTCATCAGACCATATCCGCTAGGAGGCCCATTTATTGATAAGATATCATATTCTGTAGTAAAATTCAGAATAAAAGCAACGTTATCACGGTTTGTTTAAAAGTCAGCTAAAATATGACCCAATGGTAAGTTATATTAGCTAGTAATGTTAAGATAACGACAATAGAAATAACAAAATGCTGACTTTAAATGAGGCTGCTAAATCCATGTGAAATCAACTTATCTGTAAATTCTTGAATAAATTGTAGCAAAGTGCATTTGAAGTTTCTCTTTACCATGATTATGTACAAGGTTAATATTTGGATATCAGGAAATCTGAAAGAAAATTAAGACAAAAAAGATTTAATGAATTGTGAACAATAAATAGTATACAGTTTAAAACTTAAAGGTTATATAAATCGACAAGCAGCATTAATGAGAGTCAAGTATATGTGTATATGTGCATACCCAATAATGGTGTAAAGCATAATTGATTTTTTTCTTCCATTAGTGTTTTACTATTTTCTGAAAGAAAGATTTTCACTGGCATTGTCTATTTTTACGATATCTCATGAGTAGAATATTAAAGTTTTAATTATAATATAAAGTCATTTCTCACTATAATTTATAGAAACATACTGTGTCTTAATGATTATAAAACCATATAGTCACGGATATACTTACAGTGCGTTTTTGTTTTTCATTACTGATTAAGTGTAAACGGATATATACTTCACAGATAGTTTACTTAAGGCCAGACAAGAAACTGAAAACGAAGGTGGATATGAACTCTCTGGAGAAACTTGACGATATACTACAAATGTTCATATTGTAGTTTATATGTACATATTGCACATAATGTGTTTTTCACCTAAATAAATACGAAAATATCACCCAGGATTTCTTTGTCATGGATAGTGACTCAAGTTCTAAATTGTTAAATAATTTGATTTTGGTAAATGCATTACACGAGCAAGTTAATTGGTAAATAAAGTCGATCAAAAGAATTCGGGAAAAAAAATCTTTAGTGAGAAGTAATGGAAACCGAATCGTTTCATAGTATAAAAATGTTTGCTTTGTAAGTTTAAACATGGTGTTAGTTCCAATACTTGATTTAAACAAACATCACAACACACCAATTCAAAAGTTGTCACACCACACAAGTGTCTCAAAACCAGTACTGACTATACATTCAAGGGTAAGTGTAACCTTCACTACACTATGTTAACATCACTATAGAACTAGTTTTCAAAAACAACAATTATGTATAGAGCTTCTACTTGTGTATATATAGTGGATCATCATTTATATTTTTCATATAATATTTCATGTGCACACTCCGAGAGCTGGCAGTGTATATCCTTCGATGTACATCCTTGTATAGTTTTAACTTTTGCTATATTTAACGGGTGTGGTCAATAAATTCACTTTATTTACATGTGTATTGAAAAGTAAAAGTGGGTCATGTTTATTTTGGAACTTTAAACTACAAAGTCGATCTAACAATCTAGACTTTGCTGATTGGCCTTGGAGATAAAACAATCTTGAAGGTAAATCTTCATACGAAATGATTATAAACTGATAGTTGAGTTCAAAGTGCAGCGGTTTGTATTTTAATAACATACATGTATATTTGCTAAACATGTACACTTGCAGTAAATGCCCTCAAATATGGCAAGTTGTGTGTAATGATGTGAATAATAATTCCGGGAATATAATTTACAATTTCCTGGGACAGACTCTATAAATGATATCAGTTAATAAGAAAATTTGTTGGAATCTGCAAAAGACTTTTAATAAACTTAAAAAACATTACAAGTGTCAAAAAGGTGTCATCGTGACACGTTTGTCTAGTTCAGTGTCCTGCTCTTACTTATGATGTCTTACCACCAATTACTTTGATCAGTTACCAATCACTTACCAATTACTGTTGATGGGAGGTTTAAATTTTAAACCTGGGCTGTGTGTTCAAGATCGTAACAGCTTAATTAGAACCTAGCAGTTACTAGTGGTAGATAACTAGTTCTTTTGAACAAATCTACTATAGGTGTTACGTGTATGATACAAACATCTCAATAAAATTTAATTCAGTTTTTGTAATATTCTGGATTGAATTTTTATGTATGTTTTCTTGTTTGTTAAATGTTTTTTTTTTGAAGCCTATTCCAATTTTTGTTTACCATTTCTCAGTCTTCAGTCATAATGAATATCTCTGCAAATTGGCAAACTATTCTTGCGGGCGTCTGCGTTGGACTCCTTGTGTATTACGTCATCAAGCGCATGAAACATCGTCTGCCACCGGGACCAAGATGTCTCCCAATCATCGGAAATTATCAAGGTAGACTGGATAATTCAGATGAAGCATTTTTCATTTAGATGAAAGTATGGCATCTACAATCATGACCGTGTTTGTGAGTATACGTCACCCAAAAGAGATTTCTGGCAAATAACAAAAGTTACTGTTGAACAGTTCATATCGTAGTGATGCAACAAAAGTTAACAGTATACATTTATTGACTGAATTCGAGGGCAACATGCGTTTTGTCGGACCCAAGAAACAAACTGTCTGAGGCCGTTAGGTCGAAGGCAGACAGTTCAATGGTTCGAGGGTCGACAAAACGTATTTTGCCCGAGAACTCTGTCAATAAATGTTCTGTTATACCTTTCATTTTATTTTATTTTTTTGACATACATGTATTTTGTACTATATTCCGTGATGTAATATCAGGTCTGTCATTGTTTAACACCAACAAATGAAAATGAGATTAAGCTCCGCCCATTCTGAGACGTAAGCGGTCCAACATTTCAATCAGCGGTCCAACATCGATTTTTTTATGCCCGCTCAGCAAAACATTAAATATGTTGGACTTTTTTCATATAGTTTTGTATAGGAACAAATTTTTAAAGGTATAACAATACTGTATGATTTTAGTTAAAAAAGAATGCCTTTATAAATAATTTTAGGTAATAGCATACATATGTTTATGCATATAAAAGGTTGGATAAGTTATGTAAAATCTCTGATGATTCCCCTCGTCAGATATTTTAATAAAATTAAGGAATATCTGTCTTTTTTTTTCTTTTTTTTTTTTGGTTTCATGATGTGATCAATTGATTGGCTTGCATGATAATTTCAGATTGCATAAATGCCAAGCGTTTATGCATAAAATTGGCATTTATGCAAATTATTAAGCAAGCCAATCCATTGATCATCGTCATGTAACCAAAATCTCTGAAATTTTTTCCTTACATTTACATTCTTTTGATTCTGCAAATTAAATTCATGTGCTACAGTTCCCGCACCTGTCTCTATTTGTCCCGCCCCGCACGTGATTTTTTTTAAATCACGTTTTTCGAAGAACCAATACATTTATGTAGAAATAAAACATTTTTACACTTTGTACAAAGACATTGGAAATGTAAAAATATATTACCCCACGTTTCCAACTACCTTATATTTCATTGTGAAATAAAATTAAAAAATGTTTTCAGTAGAGTTATTTCAATATTTAGTCCCCGCCCACTGACGTCAAACACAAAGACAAACGCACGAGACATACATGCAAATAAATAAGGCCTCCTTTTAGCATCAGACACAAAGACAAACGCACGAGATTTACATGTCCTTAGCTCCTGGCCTATTTTTGGCGAAATTTATATTCCGGTAGAATGACCAAGAAATCAATTCTACTAACTCTTAAAGATTTATCACAAAGAAAATAAATAGAAATTTGTGTCGATTGAAAGTTTCATAATTTCTAACTTTCAGTATATTCCTCTCCAGACGCCTATCGAAAAGTCTTCCAAATGGTGGATAAATACGGACCTGTCATCAGCATATCATTTGGTATAAATCTTAGACTATAGTTTTGTAGAATCGTGGTAATTGTCTACTACTAAATACATTATATTAGTTTCATAGACACATAGTAGTTTTTTGGCATTCTTTGCCTGCATATTGAAGAAAAAAGATTCCATAATTGTGCATGAAAATATAAAATGTTGCCGCGAACAATATTTTGGAATCCATGCTTTTTATCAACAAGAAAAGTCTCGGTCTCCCAAAACATGTTATACAGATATACAAATACATACCTTCTTATAGGACCAATGAATTGGATTTTTCTGAACAATATTGATGTAGTGAATGAAGCTTTTGTGAAAAGACAGGAAGACTTTGCTGGGCGACCTCAGATGACAACAGGTACAATATTGTGATTGTGGACTTAAGACCAAGAAAACTTAATTTAAAAAATTTTCAATTTTTTTTATTTTGGGCCATCCATACACTAGTAACATAAACTTAAATCACGTAAAATGTATTTTACAGGTAAAATGTTTACTGATGGCGGTAAGGATATTGCCTTTGCTAATTATTCCCCGATGTGGAGACTCCATAGAAAGGTCGCGGCCAAGGCTCTCCGGTAGTGACGTCATAGGTCTTTCTCCGCTCTATCACTAGACCTAACTTCTCTAGCTCTAGATGACTTTTTCATGTAGCTAAATTTTAAGCAAAATAAAATCATATAGCCATATTTTTAAACAAGAAAATCAAGTTATGTCAAGTCTTTCCTTATCCAATACTATTACCTCTTCTAAGTTTTAAAGAAAAGTGTAGAGGTATAATTCAATCTTTTTTTCATTTATTCATAATCATCATTCATATCATCTGAAGTTTAAAAAAATGAAATCCCGTTCCACATGTTCCAGTCTGTAGCATTATTGCAGCATAATTCTTTGTATTAAAAACTCTTATAATAGTATATATTTAAGCATTGAGCAAGATTTATGATAAGATGCTTGAAAAACGCAGTTTGATCTACAAAGTTAACTCAATGTCAATGCCCTAATAAGTTGAATTCATTATTTATATAGTCATTACCTACAAGGAAGCCTACTGCAGGATATGGTTCAAGAAAATATGAATAAATTTATGGACAAGATGGCAAAAGAAAGAGAAGCATTTGTACCCAGAGATTATATTAATTTGATCGTTTTCCATCAACTCTATACCGTGTGTTTTGGAGAAATGTACGTGTTTGTAACTGAAAGGTTTTTTTTTAAAATATTGGAATATATAAATATGCAACCTAATATAGGAGATTAAAAAGATGAACATGTAATTGTGCATTAACATGATATTAAAATGGCAAATAATATTGTTTGAATTGCATACCATGTGATTTTGAACAGGAGACCAGCAGATGACCCAGAAGTGAAAGAATTTTTGAAAACGTACGAAGATTTTGTAGTCGACTTTGGCGCAGGCGCATTGGAAGATCTCATTCCCTTTCTCGTCCATATTTATCAGACCGCCAAATATAAAAAGCTTGTGAGACAAAAAGAAAAACTTTTCTCTTTCATCAAACAGAAATATAAAAACCACAAGGAGACATTTGATCCCAGTATGCATGATTCATTTTTTTTTCATCAAAGTTTAAATTTCTGATGAGAAATGCAGATAGTGCTCGATTTGGTCCAGTATTGGTTGAATTTCGGATTTTCCCTTTTCCAAAGTGTAATGTTTAAATAATTTTTAATGTTTCGTTTACTTTTAGGTATCAATAGAGATTTTATAGACAGCTTGCTGATTGCAAAACACGAAGCAGAAACCGAGAGTGCAGATAACGATTTAGAACAGTTTAATGATGTGTACCTGATTATCGGCCGCAGCAGCGGCCGATCTATTTGTGATTGTGTTAGAAAGTGCACATGGGGAAATGAGACATTATTTTTCATTAGGTCAGGAAAATATTTCTCAAATGATAACAAGTAGAAAACCATGAGTAAAATATTTTCAAAAATTGCTTTGAATATAGTGTTAATTGTTGCTACTATGTTTCAATTTCTTTATCATTTCTCATCAGATAATTGATAATTTATGGTTATGTAAAAAGAGTTAACAATAGATACTCCCCAGCATGGGAGTGTATAAGATATGAAAGGAAATCGTCATGATTTTCCGGATAAAAATGACGTGTAAATGTGCATGGATTGGTGAATAAAAATTGAAAAAAATTTCAACCAGTAAAAATTGTTTTGAACATGCTCTACGGCTGCAAATAACACAAAGAAATTTTTCTACATTTTGTACTGCGCCTTGCAGCACAGCCATGGGCATTATCACGTGACCAAGATCCAGGGTATCAGCACCTGGTTCATCTTGAGATACCTACATCTTTATTTTGATGACAATAAATTCTTATCATTTATTGCTGCCCTGCCCTTTTTACATCGATGAATCTATTTATAAGCAAATGGGGTAAATGTCTATTTTTTTTCATTTTAATTAATTATCTATTTTGCCTTGAAGACAGTCTAAAATAAAAATGAATCAACTATTTCATTTGAATACTAGTATATAGACGTGCTTTCCTTTCATGGACACTTTGAAAATTGTAAAAGAAATTTGTTTATGCTAAATTTTGTTTGCGGCCGATTTGATGCTTTGCATCAATTTAACTTGTTCAAACTGTAGCCGATATTTTCTTTGGTAAGATGGCTTATTGATAAAACATCGTTTTTATAAAGGTTTGGGGGGACTCTTAACGAACGATATCATATAAACTGTGAAGCATTTTTGATCATGATTTAATATACAATTATAATTTCTGTCCATTTAAAGCTGGAACAGATACCACTAAGACGATCATGGATTGGTTTGTGTGTTACTTGTCAGGCCTTCCTGATGTTCAGGCCAAATGCCAGGAGGAAATCGACAACAACATAGGTTGGTTTTCCTTTATAATAAATAAATAATAATGCAAGGCATTGATTTTGGCCCACGTCTGAAACTTTTGAATCTATAATACCGGGTATGTGTTTACTTTCAACATTTTCTATGTTTAAGAATTCAGCATCATATTTTTTTTGACACTACAGGCAGCAGACAACTGACAATGAAGGATCGTTCCAAGTTGGAATATGTCGAAGCCTGTCTTTGTGAAACCATGCGATTGGCCCTTGCTGCATCAGTCGGTGTTCCTCATTTTACACTAAGCGATACGCAAGTCGGTCAGTTAAGTTTACTCACGCATTTTTTAAAACAAGGAAGTGTTCGAAAATATTGTCAGTAGGCTCTAAACATTTATTTTTTCTTTTTAAATTTAGAAAATTGCATTACATAAAAGTATAATCAGAGATTAATCAAATTCATTATCTGTCCTTTTTTTTCCCAGCATGAAAAGGGAAATATCTTGTTTCTTACGGTGTGAAGATTCATACAAAGTTAATCTTAACCTTGAACGCTAAAATTATTTTAAAGAATACTTTATAATCTTTAGCAAATCCTGTCCTTTTGTTTTCAATGAACAGTGTTTATTTACCCTTTCAGGTGGCTATGACATTCCAAAAGGAACCGTGGTTTTAGCTAATTTTTATGCACTACATCGAGACCCAAAACACTGGGAGAATGCGGAAACATTTGATCCAACACGGTTTCTGGACAAAAATGGAACATTGACGACAAAACGTGAGAGTTACCTTCCGTTTTCGGCAGGGCGGCGCGTTTGTTTAGGGGAACCCGTGGCAAAACCGGAACTTCTTCTTATGTGTGCGAGTCTTCTGCAGAGATTCGAGCTTCGTCTTCCAGAAGGAGTAAAGCCAAATTTTGACAGTGTACCTTTATCTTTTGGCTTAGAAATTCCACACAGTTATAAAATTGTTGTCAAGGATCGCAATACTTCATGAATATAATTTTGATACAAGATAAAGCAATAAAAGTAGGTCTAAGAAATTACTTGTGTTACGGAGTGTGTATATTTATAACAATTTCCTAAGGCCTCTTGTATAGTTTACACTCTGTATCTTTTGCATTCACGTTCACCCCTAGGCTAGTAGTAATGTTACATCCAACATATACCCAGATGAGCTAAATTTATCTTAGATTCAAAAGCTTATTTTGTAGAGTGTAAGCAAGACCCATTTTTTTTAAAAATAGCTATAGCCAGTAGAGGCCTGTGCCTTTGTTTCTTGAAAAACACCAGCACCAGTGCAAGATTCATAGGAGGTTTAATTATTGCATTCGGACACCCCCCTCCCCTTCCACACTAACCAGAAAATATATAATTGAACTTGTGCAATATTAAAATCACCAGCAGTTGGCCTGGGTCATTAAACTAAACATAGATATACATGTATTCTCTCTTGATAAGAAGCAATAGATCAATAACAGTGGTATGCTCAACTTTGAGTCACAGGCTTTTATCTGATTTTCTACAAACCCTTTTCTAAAAGTGTTTCAACAACTCCGAAGCTTTAGTTAAGTAGACATTTCATTCGACAAACCTAGGATGATTCCAACATCTTTATAGCAAATAATGAAGCAGCCCTGGCCCCAAGACCATAAACTGAGAATAGACTTTAGTCAAATTTTCATTTCAATATAACTTTTGAAATAATTTTGATAACAATACAACATCCTTACCACTTTTAATTGAAATATTATACAATCAAATTTTGGATGAATTATATATTGTAAATGACAAGCTATTCAAAATCAGAATTTTGACTTGCGTCTGTTTTTAGTTTATGGTCTCCAGGCCTGATTAAAGAAGCACAAAAATACATAGAACTGAGAGTTTAAATAATACATTACACAGAAATAAGTGAGATAAAATTTATTTTACACACAATGTACATGTACAGAATAAATAGAACACTAATACCTATGTAATAGTTCTTTCTTTCTTCATTTCATGCACATTACCTAGGACAATTTCATTTTAGATTATCAATTTCTCCTTTTTAAAAACAGGGATGAAATAAATTTAAGCTCACTGATAGATGATTATAATTCTATTCATGAAATGAAAAATTAAAAATATTTCATACTTTTAATACATGATAAAATGGATATTAAAATAAATTTTCACAATATCTTATGACCAACTTTTTAACATGTTCTGCAACATATACATGTGTGTATGCTGCCAGAAGTGGGTCAAAGGTCAACCAGAAAAATTGACCAATCAGCAAGGGTCCTGCTGAGGGGTGGATATATAAGGAGGGTGTGTGTTAATTTCATAATAAAGGAAAAATTCAAGAAAATTTTGAATTTGAAAGCATGAATTTGACATGATTGAAGCAACTACAACTATTATGAAACTATAACATTTAAAATGACAAAATCCTTAGAATAATGAGTCATCATTAAAATGTGTATTTCAACCAAGAAGGATTATACATTTCATAAAATCTCAGCTCTTAGAAAACCCAGTCACAACCCTAACTTCAAACAGATATCACTGAAACTTGATATTAATGTGAAAAAAAAAGATTCTGCGCAGGTAGTTAGGACAATCTTCAGATTTATAACCCCTTCTATTAGATTTACAGATTATCTTTGCCAGTTCATTCTTACTAATTTAGAAATCTACCCTAGAGACCCTATCACTGCAGTCAAAACTCTGATGACACAGTAAAAACCTAATATTAAAGTACATGCATCTGCTTGCTGACACATCATACATGAATTTGAACATCCTAAAACAACCTACTAACAAGCTTTTCAGAAGAAAATACATTTATGAAAGATTGGAATAGATGGACAGAGAGACAAACTGATTATTATAGAGATCCCACAAATGTGGGTCCTATTAATAACCTTCGCTAATCTGGACACAGCTACCCAACATATAACAATGACATGAGACTCCAACCAATTTGCTTAAAGGGTCAAATATTGAAAATGCAAAAATGATATCTACATTGTAAATAGTATATGTTTAAAACCACATTTATATAACATTTTTGGACACCATTTTACACACATTATAGATTTCTAAATTTATAAATTCTCAATATCTTCATATTTACAGTACATTCTCTTTTCTCTTACAGTATCCATGCAAAGTCTACGAAAAAAATTTACATAAATTCTATTTCACCATAACTTGCAAATATTGAACAGTTTGGCCCAATAGAATATTTACAATTAAAAATAAAAATTCTATATAATGTAAGACCGTCATCACTCATTTCATTTAAAACATCATTTTTAAAAAAAAATCTGTAAGTTAATGCATTAAAAATATCTCAATATTCATTTATTCTGTACCTTAACACTACTTCAAAATTTTTAAACATAATTGAAAGAAAAAAAACAGTTCTATGAAGCAAATTACAAAGGGACAGCTGGAATATCTATGACAAGGTCATCGGAACCCTCATCGCTATCATCAAACATGGGGGCCACAGCCAGGGGGTTTCCGGCAGGTTTGACTCGTTTTCCTTCCGTCTTCTTGGGCTCACCCACGCTCTGTTTTCGGGGCTTCTTGCTTCCCCCAGCCCCCTGGTCCTCTTCCGGCTTTGTGTTCAGGTTGCGCTTTTTCACCAGGTTTTCCTTCAGGATGGCTTTGGTTCGGGCCTGTCCGTTACTGTCTTCGTCAGACTGGGTGTCGGAGGATGCACAACTCGACGACGTGACCTCATCGTGCTCCATACACAGTGACACTGACACACCCTCTATGTCTTTTATGTGTCCCTCAGTATGGGTAGCACAGAAGGAATTGGGACATTCAGCACACATCATCACAGCCGGCTTTCCGCATTCATCGCAGTGATGCCAAGGACAATCCCATTTACCTGGAACACAAATTCATATTGTAGATAAGTCAACATTGACTCACAACTTTTAATCAAAGGCAGATTTTGTCAAAAAGCAATGTTTCTAACGAAGATTCTTGAATACTATAAAAAAAAACTGTCAAAAAAAAAAAAAAAGCTTACAAAACTGCCCAAGCCTTCAAAACAATTTATCAAGAAAATACATATATGGAATGTAAATATTTTCTATATCCTCTACATATGTACTGTACTTTCCCTATAAGTGAGAAGAAGATTTTTCCTAATATTCCTATGTAAAACTTTGATCGGCCATTACGGCCCCACCCTACCCCCAGGGGTCATGATTTAAACAAACTTGAATCTACACTACATAAATTAACCTACTATTTTCTACAAAATAGACTTTCTCTACCAGCTATCATTTCGATGATAACAGCAATAGCCAAATACAGACAACAGAATTTTAAACTTTCCCCAACATAACTGCAGTGAGCCACATGAAGTAAACAATAGTTAAAACACTCTTTGACCTATAAAATTACATACCGCATAAGTGGAAATTTGGGCCCGATGCAAAATAAGCAAATTGACCTTAAAATTTTGCATTTAATTTTTAGTAAAAAGTAATCTTAAGCAATTTAAAATACTCACTGAATAAACTATTACAACTAAAACGCAATTAATTTTTAGCAATATTTACTTTTAGTGATCTCAGCACCCTCACTAATAATGCCAAAATTAAATCCTCGCTAAAAATTCTGCTGCTTACCATGTGGGGGTTTGGAGAGTTTCAGACAATGTAAGTGGTAGACTTTAGGGCAGCCCGTACGGTCACACATGACCAGCTCCCCACCCTCCCCACACCGGAAACATTCATCGTCATGCTCCTTCTTCCCATCTCCTTTCTTCTTGTTTCTCTTCTTTTTCTTCTTTTCGTCCTTTTTCTTACTCTTAGCCACTGAAGCAGCCACTGCAGACTTTAAGAAAAGAAAAATTGTGACTCTTTATTATTTTCATTGTCATAACTCGACATGGGATAATGTTTTAATATAATTTTAGATTTTTCTTTTTTAAACACAACACAGTTTGGAATTTTTTCAAGTGGACTCATAAACATTTCTTGGAACAATGTGCAGATTTCAACCCAAATTTCCTCTGTTCATACACATTAGTCTATTGAGCTTCGTGTGGCATCGCATTAATCCACTTACCTTCGGTCTCACACCAAGGAAACCACTGCATAGCTCTGCTCCACAGTTACACTTTGTCTTGTCATTGCCCAGACATTCCAGATTATAGTTGAAAGTTAATTCAGTGCCTGAAAATAGCAAATGAAATCTAGTAGAATGCCAAATTCTCTTGAATATGACCAAATTGGATTTCAATTAAGGAATATCCACTGTTCAAAGGGGAAATTAAAAAAAAAAAGAAAAAGAGGAAGGAACAAACCCCCAAAACAGGATAAGGACTATATTTTTACCTGCAGGTATATCACAAAGTGCAAATAATCCCACGCGAACATCCCCATTGGCTGTCCATTTCTGGGTCTCACAGTTTGGTGCACAGCTGTGGTTCATAAATCGGGAGAGGTTGCCCTTTGGCCCTGCATCAATCACTCTGTCAAAGAATTGGATCACTTTAGCTACACATTTAACTAGAAAGCTCTTAACATAAAGACATTTGTATGGAAATTCAGATGATATTCATAAAATCAGATTGTGAATAACTTAAGATGCTTGACAATTTTTTTCTCACCTGTTTTTGTCTAGGGTAAGCATGTAATAGTTGCTGATGTTGTTTTCGTGTGATTCATCAATTCTTCTCTTGACCTCCTCTTCATCAATAAGTTCTCCAACATATTCATGTACAAACTGTCCCTGAAACAAGGGCAGCAAGAATCTAGTGATGAATGCAAAATTATACATGTGAATTGGAAATAAATAATAAAGCTACAAACTTAACCCTGTGACCTTAATCTTGTCTAACTGATCATGTATCAGAGTCAAAGATTACCCTTCAATAAAAATCAAGCCTTCATTTACGTTTCTATCTTAATAACCTTGTTCAAATGGCCATGATGGTGGGTTATTTGACAATCTCTGGTTATGAAGCAAAATGTATGAGTGTGTGTAAAGGGAAGGGAGGGGGGTGTTACACTGTAATCCAAATAAAATCAAAGACTTACTTTTTTGATGTCCACATTTGTTCTCAGCCCCCATCCTCTGCCCTCGGTTTTGAATGGTGTACAGTCAGGATACTCTCGTCTCTGAAATCGCTGGTTGTGACACTTCTCGCCACACTGGCAGACACTAGGGTGACACTCGTACATCAGCATTCGGTTCAGACAGTCCGTGTCACTGCTGCACGGGGCCTCGTGATTAGGGTCACACTCACACCTCGGTATACTGGTCAGGTCTGGTTTGGGAATTACCACGCTTCCAACTGGAATGTTATTCTGAAAAATAAACAAACAAGTGTAAGGTTATGAAGATAGACAAAATGCATCATATCATTAAGTTCTTACTCCGAAAATAAACATTCGAACAAAGAGTGAAATTATGTAGGTATGTACCTCTTTTTCACACTCATCATAGCTTTTATATCAGTTTGAAATTTTATTACATGTAGATTTTCACACTGAAATTCAACATAAATATTCCAGCACCATTTGGTTTCTCTTAAGCTTGATACAAGAACAACCCTTTTTCATGAAAAATACCTGTAAATTTAATACTGAAAGTTGTTTTAATTCCATCATTTTAATTTCACACAGCAAGAATTTAATTTCCAATTCATACAAGCATTAATATGTGTTTAAAAATTAATGATAGCATTCACGACAGGTTAAATTTCGCAAATAAATGATGAATCACGAATATTGTGAAATTAAAACCATCGTGATTTTTTCACAATCTACAGTAATTCTCCAACTACACATGATGAAACAGCTTGCTTGTATTATTTAAGGACATACAATCTATTGCCAGTAGTGAATACCTTGACAAATTTATATGGGGCTGGCTTTTTCTCACTTCTCTCTATCATCATCTTCTCTTTGTCAGCACGGAGTGCCTTCAGGGCCTGGAATGCCTCAGTGGCCTCCTGTACACCTAAAACATATATACAGATCCATAATTATCATGAAGGGGTTTGCTTCTTATGAGCATTTATAACATTGCATATATACATGATAACTTAGATATCTATAAAACTAGGAACTAAGTTATGTCCCTTTCCAGAAATTTCAATGCAACTGTGATTTCCATGACAAACCTCTTGCAAAAATCTTTGCCAAACTCTTATTCCTTGCTGTTTCTTTGCAGTACTTATCACCATCATGAAATCCAAAAGCTCTGCAACAGAAAACGACACATAGACATCTTCACTTTCATATTTATATTTTCAATACACTTTCACTTCAAAACAGTTTGTGCTTCGACTTCGAAAAAGTATGTGGATGAAGAACTAACAGGAAAATTGGCACAATTGAGTGCAATGTCCATAACTTCTCAACAGCCAAGTATTTATCTCTTTTTTTTATTGCTTTATGTACACTTTGTTATCCTTCAAATCAATTTTAAGACAACAGTATCATGCAGGAAAACTTTAAAAGACTACACAGTTAAAAAGACATGCAAGTCCTCACCTTCCTTTATGGATCCAAAAATAATCATTGGTTCCAAAGAAATGGACAGGGAATTCCCCAACTTGATGCGTCTTCTCTTGTATATTATGAGGCACCCGTTTGGGATGGCAAATTTCTGAAGGCCACCACCTATCATAAAAGAATTATTCTATTATGTTTTATTGAAAAAATGAAGAATAAATTCTATAATTTATAAATGTATGTAAAGAGTTTTCAATAATTAAAAATAATATTAACACTTATAAAAGTAGGGTGATATTATTCCCATGCTTTTATTCCTCTAGACCAGTTGTTAAGATCCATAGAATAAATGACATTCCAATTTCCAAGTGTTTAAGTGTTCAAGACATCAAACTTGCAACTGATTCCGAGAATTAAACTATAAAGCCTTACCTGTAACTGCCGAGTTTGACCCACACAATGTCCCCGTATAACAGCTGTTTGCCAATAGAGCAATCATTACAGTACCAATTGCCTTCTGGGAAATTTATGTTTAAACATTCTGCATGGAAAGAGGCTGGGCAACTATCACAGCAAATCAGAGAACCACCTGAAGTAAGAACAAAGCTACATGTCAACATCTGATGAGAAAAGTCTAATCTTACTTTTAACACAGGGTACCTGGACCCATGTATTTAACCTACAATTGCATGCTCTTCAGTGTCTTTCAATATTAAAATCTACAACTGAATTTATTTGTACCATCTCTGGGGGTAAGGTTTTTTCTTTTTCCTTTACACTTTGGTGAAAAGTGACAAATAGCATGCAAAATTCAGAGTGAATGCAAGTTCAGTATTGATATAAAAACGAGAACAGAAAAACTTACGAAAATAAAATAAAATTCAACTCAGAATGGTGAAAAAATTTTAAAATACCAACCTAAATTGCAAACAAAACACCAGCTGACATTTATATGATTGTGGTATTTTTGGGTGCGGTTTGGTTGGAAATGTTTATTACAGACAATGTTGTATCCAGGCAGATTTTCACTCCCAGCAGCGATACAAAAGTCCCCGGTGTGGTAAGCTGTCGGGCATCTGACACATCGAACAAGTCGACCTATATAGTGAAAAGAAGCCATGTTTCACAAACAAAAAGTAAAAGCCTGAAAGGCTTGGAACATGGCACAGAACATGAAAAAAAACATTTCAAAAGTTCTTTGAATTAAATATTGTAAAAATTACATATTTTCAATAATTTTCAATTCATCTGATGCAAAATAAGAATTAGCAGCCGATTTGAGAGACCAAAAACTTTCCTTGTATGAAGTTCAGTCTTATGGAAACACGAATCTATAAACCTCCACATGGAATTATTATAGCTCTAACCTTTGCTAGCCTTGGTTTTCTTGGAATTTTCTATGGAGCATGTTGCACACTGGTGCAGAGGGCAAACAAACCCATTCTTGGTGTCGGATTTTAATTGCATCAATTTATTCATGCAGTCTTCGTGATAAAACTTTCCACACAAATGCACAGAACATTTCTTGGTTGTCTCGTCTTTCTTTTTGCATGCAAAGCATGTGTGCAGTCCTACAAAAATAGACACAATCAGAGATTAAATTCAAATTTAAAAAACATATATTTTTTAAAGATACAGTGAAAACTGTCTTATTTGACATGCACTGGGGAAAAAATTGTGTCGGAATAGACAGGATGTCAGATTGCGTGATGGAGTGCACAGGTGTCTGGTTCGACTGTTTTCACTATATAAACAGATTAAAATATACTTGTATAAGTTAGTACTGAATTTTGAAGTCATATTGCCTCAGCCTCAGCTGTAACAGACATTCTTGCATAACTTGCAGGCAAATAAGTAATTAATGAACACAACAGAAAAGTTGAAAAACAAAATTCTACAGATGATAATAGCACCCTTCCCTGTTTTGGCGAAACTTAAGCATTCATTTTTTTAATGGTCTACTTTCAGCCAATTTTTTTGTACCTGAAAAGCTCCCATTCTATAATTCTGTACTCATATCTTCTTCAAATATAACCGCTCTTTATTTTCTTTTTAAGGATATCTTTTACCACTCACCACCACTCATTAAGTCCATCTTTCACGACTTACCAGTTTTGCACTCCTCACATTTGAAGGGTTCCTCCACACTGTCTCCCACACAAGCCTTATGGAAATAATTGTGACAGTCCCCCTCACATTCCACCAGCTCACCTGTATCCTCACACACCTGACATAAGTACTTCTGACTTTTACTGCTCGAGGATTTCTCTTCTTCCTACAACAGAGAAGACATTTCTGATATACAGTAAAACTTGGTTATAACGCTATATCTTAATTCGTTATATCCGTATGAGAAATTCATTAAATTTATATGGCTAGGGAACAAAGATGACTTTGCTACATCCATAAATTAACAATATTTGTGTTCATACTAAACGAGTTTTACTGTACAATAAATGCAAGAGAATTCAATTTTGCTACCTTTACAATTAAGATTTTTTCTAACCTTCACAATGAATAATTTCCTCATTTCAATTCTTTTTTATTTACTATTTCATTTTGACATGAATGCAGGATCATTTTATTTACCTGATAAATTTTAATTACTTTAGTTAACAATAATATTTCCTTTTCCTGAGAATGTGATTGATTTTGAAAATTTAATTAATTCCGTACTAGTTGAGGATAATACCTGATTGTCTGAACTGCTCTCGTCACTTGTGGATTTTTGCCTCTTTAGTTTCAGTTTTCCAATCAACTTGGATTCCTGTAAATAAAATGGATATTTTAATAAAATCAAATTTTTTATATTTCTTTACTCTAATTTACTAATATTTCAGTCAGCCATAATAATGAAGGTTTGTTGGATCTGTCCCCTAACAAAAAAAATACTAAAGTTAACTACAGTTAACCATAGTTTACTACAGATGTATAGTTAACTTTAGTAAATCAAAGTGTCAAAGTTATCACTATATAGTAAATCAAAGTTATCACTCTAGTTAACTACAGTACTTTTTGTTAGGGTCTCCTAGTTATCTTACTTTTTCCATATCCTCCTCGTCATCTCCAACATGTGGTTTCTCCGTCAACTTTGGGGTCAAAGGTCCTGTGGGCATGTCTGATGAATCTACAAAGTTTGATTTCCAAGAAAGTTAATAATAACATTTTAATTACTACAATATTTGTATCAAACAAGACACATTTTTTTCTGTGTGTCAAGTCTCAATGATGAAAGGAGGCATTTATTTACCAGTGATTGGGATAAGCACGCGCCCTGCGCCATAGTCGCATTAAATTTTAAAATGTCACATTAAAATTAAAAACGCAGCGCCATCGTGGCGCATAGAAAATCATGCATACATTCTTTTAAACTTGCATCCCCCAAACGCTTGTCTTTCCCACAACAATCGCTGTCATTAAAAAGATTTAATGTCGTTCAGTTAAAAATGGCTTTCTTTTCTCCAAAATCAAACAGTTATGTGTTTTTGATTGGCTAACGCGCAGCATTTTGCAGCATGCTGTGAAAATAATACCAATCTTTCATTTTAAAATAACAAACAGAATTCAAGTAAATCGGTAGAAAATGACTCGGAAGAAGTATAACATGCTGACAGAACGAATGGAGATGACGGTAAGACCGATGATGTAGTCTCGGATGAAAAACCAAAACGAAAATTTAACATGTGGAGGGAAGCAGTATAGCCTAGATCTAAATCATTTTAAAGATGTCAAACATCGGAGACAAAAAATAAAGAATTGAAATTAAATTGCAGTGTTTATTTAGATACTTGTGAAGAATATAAAATCTTTTAAATTCTATGATTTGACCATTTCAATTAAGTAAAGTCAACTGAAATTCTAACAGCAAAAAAGTGTACATTATATATTGCAAGTTTGTACAGGAAATGTCCCATTAAAAAGTCTATATAATGTATTATAAGTGTGCCATTGTCACATACATATCCCAATCACTGAAATTTACTTGCATACCTGAAAATCTCCTACAAAAATAAGCATAAACCAAAATGTAGTTTTGTTTCAGCATTTTAGTAATTATATTTTTCATAAAATCAAAATGTCTGCATTAATGCTGCAAATAAAAGGTATCTTTGATGTAAAAAAAAAAATGGAATTGTTTTGAGAAGGAAAAAAATTCTGAAAATGCTTGAGAAAAAAAATCAATACATTGTTACAAGTGCTATATAAGTATTATATACATTTACAATAGCTTTTACCTTGAAGCTTAGATTTATATCTAGACTTTTGTTTCTGACTCATCATCAGCCACTGTTGTTGCAGGCATTCATTTATGTTAGCTTCATCAAATTTAGGATGATCTGCCATCATGCTGTCCCTGTGTTTACTACAGAACACCTCAAATGATCCCCCCGTTTTCTTATCCTTGTGTGAGCTGGCGCTCTCGTCGACTCTTCGTCGCTTTGACCGGGGTTTAGCTCCTGGAGATGCTTTCGCTTCCTCCACCGTTGCTTTCACATGTTCAGACGACTTCCGCTTTCTTTTCTGTGTTCTCTCACTTGATTTCCCTTTCGGGGAATTTACAGGTTTACTAACACTATTATTCAAATTCTGTTTTTTAGTCTTTTCGGGTGTGTAAACACATTTGAATTGTTCCACTCGTTCATCAAGAGTCATTTTCATAGCCTCTTCTGCTTGATGTATGGCTATTAGCCAAGCTGCCTGTCGGTTTGGATAAACTTTGTATAGTTTTTCAAGTTTTAATTTTTCACCCTTTTTCGCATTCTGAAAAGCTTGTTTCACATGCTCGTCGTATTTCTCTTTTCCATGGAATTCCATTATTGAGCCAGAGGCTATCCACCCTCGCTCTCCTTCGTTTCCGAAGAAATGAACGTGATAAATCCTACTTCTTGCTGTAAAGGACAGGAAATACTTCTAAAATCACCTATCCATCTAATAATACATTTACATGCATGTCAAAATTAAAACAAGTGCACATCTGTAATTGTATGCATTTTTGTCATAAACAAGATGGATGACATATTAATGAATTATATTTTTTTTCATGCCCTTGCTACTTCTTTCATCTTATTTCTTTTTAAGGAAGTCAGTTTCCTTCCAAATTTTATACCATGAAACATTTGTTGTAGACACAAACGGATGATTGATACAACTACTGTACATTTGAATCTCACCTTTCATTTTCGTGTATAAATCTTCGTAGGGATCCTTGGCCACCATACACGGCCACCAGGGATGTCCAGCCACTTTGGCCCACAGCTGGTCCCCTATCTTCCACTCTGTTGGTTTATCCACCACGGGAGACAGTACTGTTGCTGATTTGTTCAGATCCGGTTCTACAGGCTGTGGAATATCCACATTATCGGCACTTGCTGACTTTTCTTCCACACCTTTTGGAGACTTTTCTCCCACATCCAACACAACTTTGGGCTTCCTTTGACGCTTTCCCTCCACATGAGTCACTTCAAATATGTTTTTGTAATTTCCCGATTTTTCTTTGACTTGTTTATTTTTTCTAACTGGCGTGCTAGGTTTGGGGTCTTTTATCTTTGTTAACGTATTTGAGCTATTGTCACCGCCTTCCGATTTGTCACTGTTTGTTTGCAGTTCTTGCTCGTTACTAGTTTCTTGTTTTGCTGTTTGTTCTTTTTCGATTTTTATTTGAGATCTTGCCTCCGCCTTTGCTCTCTCTTTCGGATGCACCAGTGGTCTCTCTTGTTCACCTATAGATAATTTAAATTTTTCATTTTGCAATTTAATGTGAAAATTATGCATGATTGCAACTATTCAGATTTCTTTCTGATCAAATTCTGATCAGATAAACCAACTATCTTACCTGTGTTATCTCTGGCAAATCATAACAACAAAAAATGTTAATGCATTTTCCATACACATCAACAACTGTAACCTCAAGTTGTTTTTTTCCCCAGTGATTGGGAAGGGCTTGCGCCACGCGCCATAGTCGCATTGAAGTGGAAAATGGCGCATTAAATCATTCAATGATTGCGCCAAGGTGCGCATTCAAATTTTTAGCGATCTTATTTGGAAACATTTTGCGTTTGACTTCATTACTTGTTTTACTTTCGTTTTATTGCAATCAATTTTAAAACAACAAATCTCATTGGTGGAATCCCGCAAAAAAACTGTAGACTGGTACCCTGACATTGGTTAACGGGTGCAAGCTCCCTTCCTAGCGGCAGCGACTGGAATCAAGGCAGAGAACCAGTGCTAAAAAAAACTGCTTCCGGTTTATCGAAGCACCTAGATTCGGTACATTACGACATTTATTTATAGGGTAGGGTGGAGTTCAATCCAAATTGTGATGTGATTTAACGCAAAATACGGATATAATTTTATTTTCAATTTTCTTTAAATTTGTAGCATTGCATGTGTTCAAAATTAGATTCGGTTCATGAAAAACGTGGGGTTTTTTTCGTACTTCACATTTGTTTGTCATTTTGTTGTTTCTTAAAATGGCCCCTCAGATTATATGGACGGCCCAATCATTTTCAAAATGGCCCATTAAAATTTTTGACAGTTGCGCCAGTCCCTTTGACCATTTTGGCCTTCCCAATCACTGTTTTCCCAAACAATAAATAAGTTCAAAATCATTAAACTAAAATTATTCAAAATATCTATATTAAGAAAAAAAATATGATATTGTAGTAATATTGCTTAAATTTGTGCCATCATTGCAAGGCCACACTCTACTGTGATAATACTGGCGAAAGGACAAAACAAACACCTGTAACTCAAAAGTAACTCAAAAGTTTTACATGTACTGTGACAATCAGTTAAATGTACCTTGAACATTTTCCACAGATATCTCCATGTTGAGATCTGCATTCATTCTGATCACTTTCCCTGCATCTTCTACCACAAGTGTTGCTTCGTCTTTCACGGCTTCCACTTTGGCTGCGGCTTTGCTCTGAGCAATCTTGCTGTTCCTGGTTAAGTTAGCCACCTGAGGGAGGTGGTGCCTAAATGGGGGAGAGGTGCACCCCCCACCATTGACTGCTGCCTTCGTATTGTCCATCGCAAGACCAGGCTGATCTTGGTCACGTCTTCTTAGCTGACATAACTTTAATTAACACCTACAATTAAAAATTAACAGTTTTGATAATTATTCTAAGGATTCTGACGTTCATTGAATGTTCTTTAGACTTATGGTATTTGCATATCCCAATGAACCAGACTTAATGTTCATCTTGTTCAATTGTTTTCCCTAATAACTGGTTACCAGCCAAACTGACAACTTCAATCGACAAAAATGCCACTTTGAAATTAAAAAATCAAAATTCAGTTGTTGTAAGGTCCACAGGAATTTATTCCCTAGCCTGTTACAACTGATCTCTAACCCTTTACTCTGAAATAAAGGGAAAAGACTCCCTAGTAAATATTGTGGGAAGTAAGTAACACAACTGATCTAATATTTGTTAAGTTTAACATCAAACCTTGCTGATCAGGTGCTTACAAGTAGCTCCACAACATTTAGACTTTATCAGTGTTTAAGGAATCCTATATATATTTCCATTCCTAATTTTTTTCCCTGTGATAACCCTTTGAAAGTTAGTGGAGTTGATTTCTTGATAAATCTACCAGAATGTAAATTAGGCAGGTCGATAGGTCAGGAGCTAAGGAGGCCTAATATGCATGCAAATCTCGTATGCATCTGTCTCTGTGTCTGACACTATGGAGGCTAAAATATGCATGTGAATCTCGTGCGGCTGCCTTTGTGTTCGACGTCAGTAGGCGAGGACTATTGAAATTGGCATGGGAGTCCTCGTGTAATTTAAATTTATGAGTACATTTTTAAAGTCTAAATCTACAATTTTATTTCACAATGAAATGGAAATATTCACAATGAAATGGAAATATAAGGAATCACTGTCTAGTTAGTTTAGTATGCCAGGGACATCAACAATAGTGGGAAACATGGGATAATTTATGCATAACAGGCTTCGCCCGTTATGAAAATTATCCCATGTTTCCCACTATCGTTGATACCCCTGGCATACTATACTAACTAGACAGTGATTTCTTAATTAACATAGTACTGGCATATTGATCAGGTTGGGACTACTCGCCCACATGGGATAAAAATAGCCTTTTTAGGGTACAATATCCCGAGTGGATATAAATTTACAGTGCAAAAAAATGAACATTTTTATTTTAGCAACAAATATCATAAATTGGCATCAAAACACTTAAAAAGAAATAACTTTTGGCAAGCAAGTTTTTCTGTAACCCTACAGTTTGTAAGATTGATCCTTAAGAATTTAAGGAACTTCCAAGGGATCAATCTCCAAAACAATAGGTATAGTCTAATCCACACTTTGCAAATAAAAGTTGTTTCCCTTTGCGGGGTCAACCAAAAGGTCAAAAGAGAAAGAAACGTCATTTCTCCTCTTTATGCTACCAAATATTTGGGCGTGCTGTGATAAATCCATTGTGTTTAGTTTTATTTTCTTTCAATGTGTGGGTAGCCCCATCTTGGGGCAATCAGTACACAAAAGGCAGAGCTTTTTAAAGTCAAATGACGAAGTTACAAACCTGAAAAGTACAAAGGCCACTGTGTGGATTGTATGGGTTTATCCCCTAAGATGGCGGCTAAGGGACATAACTTTTGAAAAGTGTGGATCGGACTATACAGAAAAACTTGTAAAACTAAAGTTTTTCCTTTCTATGAAGCATTTTGATGCAGATTTCTGAATTTTGTAGGCAAGATATTTTTTGCACTGAAAATTATATCCCATTTGGGCGAGTGGTCCTAAACTGTTGATAGGGAAAGATTTTTTATTCTATAAAGCTGCTCTACTTGAAACTCATTTATAAAATTTAAGGTGCCTGTGGTGCAACTGCATTGGAATATATTCGAATATACTTAGTAAATATAATAATTATTTTCAAAACTCTTTCCCTGTGCTTTAAACATTAACGTTTTTACATCTATTCAAATAATTTTTTCCTGTTGGCTGAGGGCTTCCTGTGCCTACATTTTTTTCCCAACCTGATCATTCCTCCAACATGATTTACTTATGAAGTTCTTCATGCTTCCCTTGCATTTGTTGGTCGCATAGTTTGAAAGTAGTGTTCAGCATTCTAGCACTCCTATTTTACCCTCACAGACATACAACTTCAATTTGGTTATGGAAGTTATTACCTATTCCACTTTTTCAACAAACTGAAATAATGACTTGACCAGCAAGCCAGGATATCAGTATCATTACATGACGTAGATGCTTTAAGCTGCTTTTATTTACACTTCTTCCATCAAAGGATTTGAAATAAAATGAAAGCATTTATTCTATGGAAATATACAGCATGCTGACCCCCCTTCTTTGTGTGGGGATTGAAAGTACACCCTTTTATTACTTGTGATCTTAACTAAAATCAGAAGTTTATAAACGCAACAACATCTACACTAATTATCATAATCATGACTTGTGGACAGGATTCTTACTTCAATAATATTGACTTCTTTTTCCCTGAGAAATACATGCTCACTCTGACTCTAAACGCTCACCGGAAGATAACAACTTTCGTGTAATTTCGGCAAATATCGGCGGGAAAAGGCAAAACAAATAAACTGGTTCTCTTTCTGAGATAGAGTTATGGTTCCTGAGTAATCAGAGTACTGAAATACTGAAGGTGGTCGATTCTGACATCAAAAGTAATGAGAATTTTTCATCAAGCATATCTTTAGAATATATACACATAGCTTTATTAAAAATCAAAACAAAAATGGGGGTCAATGCGCTTCTTTTGGCGCTACACAGCATTTAGTTTGACCTTTTTGCACTGTAAATACGTTTATACACAATTCAATTTTTAAAAAATTTTCCTCCATTTTTTTTTTTTATTTATGGGAACAAACACAGTCTTATTTCATCTTAAATAGACTCATTAAGATTTGTTACAGCGAAGAAATTTTCAAATTACTCCGATTGTTCAATTATTTTACCTTATTGTACTCAAACAATGTCATTTTTATGGCATTAAAAATTTAACAAGCATGCAGAAAAATTATTTGAAAGTAATGACATTTCACTCAATTTAGGAAGAATGGTTAAAAATATCGTATAAATTCAGAAAAGACAATTAAAAATGGGGAGTCTGTGATGTTAATTTTTAGATATTACTAAAATAGTGCTAATTCTTAAGCTTATGGCTATTCAGTGACGTGGCATCGTTTTTAAAAGGGGGAGGAGGCAGCCAAAGAAATATTTTTTACTTACCTGAAAAAGTTGACCAAAAAAAAAAAATTTCCAAAACTCAAAAATCCTATTTCGTGGGGGAGGGGGGGGGGAGGGTAGACTGTAACGGCCAAGTTTTTTTCCCCATATAACAATTAACATTTTTCAGTGCCACATTTTTTTTTCATACAATACTACATTACCCTTATTTCAATTTACTGTACCAAAGTACCAAAAGGGGACCAACCAGCCGTTCAATGAACATTTCCAATTGTAAAAGTTATGTCTGGGGAAAAAAATATTTATCAAATATGAAGAGAGAATTCATGACAGTTTATTTATTAGATAATTTAGGACCAGTATAAATGAAGTGTCAAGTATATTGAGTTTTCTTAAATTATTTTTATTCCCCCACCCCACCCCCCGTGTTCCATACCCCAAAGGTTCTTATTTATTTTTCTATGAGTTATTCGTTCGCAAAGTATCACAACCGAAAAATCCAAAATTTAAGCAAAAACTGTTCTGTGAATAGAAAACGCATATGATTGATATTTATGTGATTTTCAAATAGACACATATATATATATATATATATGTGTCTATTTGAAAATCACAGATATATCTTGATAAAGTTGTCATGCAGAGATCAGAAAATATAAAAAAAAAAATGATAATAATAATAATAATTAAAAAAAAATATTGTGAGGGGAAGTAGGGTCAATCCTGTCTACGAGCATAGTGTATGAATAAGTCATGGTGATATATTTTATCGCAAAAAAGTCAAATGACTCTTGGGGTAGGGAACACGGGGGGGGGGGGGGGTTCCGTACTACCTGTGATTATTAGAGCTAGAACAGACTGTAGAAAAAACCCAAAGGAAATCATGTACTCAGTAATCATGCATTCAATCAATCTATATAATTAAAAATTAGATCTTTGATCCTCTGCAGTTAAGTCAAGATATACTTTTAATTGGGTTGGTCATTCAATACTCTCGGTTTGGATATTGTAAATAAAAAAATCAGGATCCTTTATCCTAAATAGTACATACGTCCCTGAAAATATTGATACCGTGTTTTGTTTTTTTGTTTTTTTTAACATATTGTTAAACAGTCTGTTAAATAAATATTTTTATGTAATATAAGGATTTCAAAATAATCTATTGGAAATGTTGCCTGAATATATAACCTTTTTTTTTTAAAAAGTGCATGTGTCTATGCATGAGCATTTTGCTTGAATACCCGTTAAAAGCGTAACCCCTCCCCCATAAAAAAATAGTTGTAACCCCCCCCCCCCCCAGTCCAACTGCAGGCCTGCAAAAGACATGCGTGTCGCTGGTTTTGATTGATCTCATATAACGTACTGCTTTGTAAGATTTAATTATATAGAACTTTAATGTAGATCATTAATTATAAACATAATTTTTAATTTAGAAAGAGGGTCAAAAAGGTTTTTCGTTAAATAGTAATATCCTTGTACATTAGACGTCTCTCTTTATGTCAATGTTCTTAGGTTTTCTATGAAACTATTTTAATATTTTTAAAAAATCAGAAATTCATATCATTATTACTTTTAATTTTTGTTTTGCAATGTGTATGTCCAAGATTTTTAGATTTTAGCCGTTTAAAGGGGTTGTTTCGGCTTTTAGTCGTAGCAAATTGAAGTGTCCGCCATATTGTACAGGTTTGTTGATCGTCATGGGTAGATCAAGAAGCAGAAGTAGATCTTCCAGCAGACAGAGGCATCGTTCTAAACACAAGAAAAGACGCACACGATCCAGATCAAGATCCAGAGAGGCGAGATCTTCAGTGTCGAGCCGACATAATTCCAGCAGAAACCGTTCAAGGTCAAAAGACAGAAAGAGAAGAAGAGAGAGGTATAAATATAAAGTCACTGGGTCAAGGAGCTCGTATTTCATATCCTTGTTGGTTACCTTTTGAACATTGTATACTAAGTTTGAAATGTTTGGGAAGTTTATGCTTAAAATTTTGCGGCTAAAATCACTCGACTATATAAGCCCAGATAAGATGACAAAGAAACCCTAAATTTTAAAAGAGCATTTCATTTAATTTTTATACGTGGATGAGACTTTAGTTACCTGTATTACAGTTTATCGGGTAAAAGGAAGTCTTTTCTGCAACCTATGAAATGATATACGAAAAAATATAGGTTGAATTTGCATTGCTATGCATTGTTATTACGTACTCGATGTAACGATATAATGTTCAAGAATTCCATTATTTGAAATAAGATAGGGGTTATAAAGAGGATCAATGGGTTTTATTTTGTTACACAAGCTGTTGCAAGTCATTATCCGTATTGATTCGAAGTATAATATTTTGATGTCTGTTTTGCATAATTGAACATAAAAGATATAAAACAATATGGAGATAAGTAAAATAGGCCTATTTTATAATTTAGCAGAGTTAAATTCAGTTGCATTACTCCAAATTTTGCATTATGTTTTACCTCATGTTTCATGTTCATACATGAGCAACAAAGCCAAAATTCTGATCATAAGTGTCTGCAGACTTCTATAAATTGTTTTACATTTTGAATTTTTGAGCAGCTGTTGAATCAAACTTAAAAATCAAACATAAAGCATAATTGGGTAAACAGGGTTCAAAACACAATTATTTGAGGGTTTAAATTTTTACTTAGATGACAAAAATTTCCTAATAGGTGGGGAAAATCTTTCAAAAATCTCTTGAAGTTCAAGACTGATTCAAGTTAAGGAATGGGGACAAAGGGAATCTCATTTTGAGATCATATGGTTCAATTCAATATGAAATTTTAATGCCATGCATAAGAATATTTGCATAAATGATCCATCATTAGTAATCCGGTGAATTTTTTTGCAATATATACTTAACAAGTGAATATCTTTATACTTTGTAGAGCTAAGTTAGCTGGAAACTTGGACAGGTACTAAATATCAGCATAAATATCACTTCTGTTTTTCTGGGTAGAATCTTTTTGCTATAGGAGCATAATACACTTGGATATATGCTTCATTTTGCTTAACTTACAAAATTAAGCTTTAATATTTTTTCATATGATTGATTGACAATACTCATTTTTAAGTATAGTATTAGTTATTTTATTTTTGCCTGGAAAAAGACTTCCAAATGGAAATATGCATAAGACAAAGTACTTCAACAATGTCCAATACCCATAAAATAAATGGACTATGATGCACTCCTTTTTCAAACATCCATTGGATCTCTTTGTAATGACATGTGCCTTGTGAATACATCTGCATTTTCCAATTTTTATAAATATTCGCCAAATTGTAATCTTCTGTAATTTAAAAACTTAATATGAGAGTTTAAATTACAAAAGTGAATAAAAAAGTTCCCCAATGGAAATCCAAATCACTCCTAGTGCACAAACTAAATACTGATGTAGTATAATTTTTATAATGACAACCAACTCAAGAACAGTTAATTTAAATCAAATTTTAAATAAATTTGTGTACTTAACTCTTTCAACACTGAGTAACTTTTATCAACCAACCCCAGGTACACTGAGTAACTTGGGCCATCACTAAACATTTCACCTTACGTCACAAAAAATACTATAACTTCTTTATTTCTTTGAATATTTTAATAAATGACACATCATTAGAAAGGTGAGGCAGTTTTCTTTTAAACTAGAGGTACTGTGAGCGATGAGCTCACTAAATGATACCCCCCGCCTCCCATATGGTTATAACTGGTGAAAAAGTCCATGTTTTCCTGTGGCGGGGAAACCAAAATATGTGTCAGATCAAAAAGTAAAATATAAATATGTTATAAAGATGTGAAAGTTGCATCAAATTTCATTCATTGAGAGGAGTTGCGGATAAGAGAGCAAAGCGTAACAAAAACCCTACAGACGGACGGAATTAACGATTACTATATACCCTCCCGCTTTTCAAGCGGGGGGTATAATGATATGAATTTTATATGTATACAAAATTATTTAGCATGTCAAAAACCCTAATAAAATTCATAATTACATTTTATAACGGATCTTATGCAAAAATTTAATAAATTTGCTGCTATGAAGTTTCAAAATCGATTATGTTCTTACCACCATTCAAAAGAGAAATTATTTCCGAGTAAAATGGTATGCAGTATGTCAGAATTTATTTAAAAGTAAGTCCATAATTATTAATAAATAAAAGACATCGGAAGAAGTCTGGGGCGTGGAAAACATCCTCTGTTTCGGAGCCTTGATAGTCGGATTCCGAGTCAACTTTCTCCGACAAGATTTCACAACATTGCTAATAACTCATATTTTTGTTGTCTAGAAACATCTATAATGTCTAATTTCTTGATTTTATTCAATCTTTCATCGCCAGAAAGATCGGATATTTCGTTGTTTACCGCCATTTTGCTTTCTTCT